ATAATAACATATTGTTTTTGTGATTAATCACTATGCTTTAATTATGTTCAATTTTTAACAATGAAAATACATCCTGCATATCACATATTTACATTACAATTCATAACAGTAGCAAAATTACAGTTATGAAGTAGCAACGAAAATAATTTTATGGCTGGAGGTCACCACAACATGAGGAACTGTTTTAAAGGTTGAGAACCACTGCTGTAAAGGCATTCATTCATCCAGATAGCTTTTTGCCAAAGTGAAAATAATTTGATATTCAGGAGGTTACAAGTTTATAATTTGGAAATATCATTTATAAATCAGATTAACTAGCAATTCAAGGGATTAACTATAAAAACATCTTGAATAATCTTGGTAATCACTGCTACAAATAAGAATCATAAGAATATGTGAGGGAGGCCTGGCACTAACTTAGATTAAGGAAAGTTATTCATCGTTAATTTTGCTCATCAGCTCCTTGATGTGTACAAGTTCAGGCTTTAGAATTTTCTATCTAGTTGTCAATACAGCTCAATTATTTCTAAATCTGCTGATGTAGTTTTACCCGTTTAGAATCCTGTGGCCTACAGCAGTGAGGGAGACAGGACAGCTGGTCTCAGCACCTTGGAAGGTGCTTCCTGACTCATGCTGAAATTCTTGAAAGCCTGCTCTATCTCTGATGGCCTTGACTTTTAAGGCCCCGCGCTATAACTAAATCATTACTGTGGGATGCATGCAACAATAGAGTGATGCAAACCAAAAAGGTTCAGCGAGGTCCCCAAGGAAAGATGAATGGGTTGAGAACTGTGGAGAGAGCAAGGCTTGCTTGGCTGTCTTTGCTAAGGTCGTTTGGAGAAGAATTAGGAGCTTCTCTTGCACTCCTTAGCACTACCACGTTCGATGCTGTAACAATCACACCACATTCGATGACAGTACGGATGAATGAATGAACAGTGCATGATTGGGGAGGACCTACATTCCTTGTACCTGCTCTTGCACTTACCAGATGTACTAGTACATGTGGCCAGAGGAGGGTCCCATGTGTGATCTGCCTGGCACTGGCTCCGGGGACTGCCTTCCAGAGTATATCCATCTTTACACTCCAAGGTTACAGTATCTCGAAATCGAAATTCTTGCCTCATGTCCAACTCCTTCCAGATTCCATTCGTAAACTTTGGGAGGCTGCATTTTACCTCTGAAATTAGAAAATTGGAAGGAAATTGATATTTTATTGAGAACTTTAGTTGTAACTACCATAATGGAAAGACCTATGACCCCCAAACCTACTTCCCTTCAGCAAAGAGGGGTCATGTTTTCAATCAAGAAAAATTGATAGCCCCTCCCTAAATATCGTATGATTTAAGATAAACATTGTATGATTTAAGATTCTCAAACTTTATTTTCCTTGGAATATGGAATGTACTGTAATCCACTTTTAATTGTGAATAACTCTGAAACTGGAAAGCTGTGGAAAGATGAGGATTTAGGATAAGCATACTCTAGCCTAGATCCACCTGGGTCAAACCACAGGAAATAGGAAGATCACATTAACTCTCTCTGGGAATACAACAAATACTGCTTTTTGCCTCTTGATTAAATGCCTGTTTCTGGCTCATTTCTACATATAGAACAAAGACATTAGTAAATCATGATTCTGAATTTGAAATATCAGTTTTCAACTTAATTTATCTCACTTAGCTCAACCTTACTTTGCTGTCTTTCTCTGCCCTGCCACAACTTCTTCGATTTAAGCAAAGCCTGTTTTTAGTTGTAAAAGTCTAATTTCTTTTGTAAAACCCAATCAGGTAAAGTGCTAATTCTCTCAGTATGGTCTGTGGTCTTTCTACACCAGAATAATCTAGTGGGTTTGTAAAAAATAGACCTCTGGACCCCAACTCAAAATGTCAGAATCAAAGTTCTTGGGGATGTAGATTAAGAAACTGTCTTTTAAATAAGATTCCTGGCTAATTTTGCTAAGGCTAAAAATAGAGAATGAATAAGACATGTTTGAAGAGAACAGTTATTAAGACAAAAGCAATTTTATGTAAATGAAAAGAAAGCACCTACTAGGAGAATGGGATACAATTCTCTTATTTTCAGGAAAACTATCCCAGAGTCCTAATCTGAATAGTTAATTCTGGAACGATTCCCTAAATCTTCATACTTCTTATGTAACTACTAGAGGCCCAGCACACGAAATCGTGTGCGAGTAGTTTGCTGCTGCTTCCTGCTGCTTGCCACCCTGCCCGCCACCGCTCATGGCTGGGAGGGAGAGGGACCAAAAGGTGGTCAATGCACCTCATGGCGACTGGTCGAGGGGTCATTCTGGTTGGTATGCTTATGGTCCCTGGCCTTTTATTATATAGGAAAGCAAAGAGGTGCCCTGGCTGGTGTGGCTCAGTTGGTTGGGCGTCGTCCCATGCACTGACAGGGCACATGCCCGGGTTGCAGGCTCAATCCACAGTAGGAAGCATGCAGGACGCAGTTGATTGATTGATGTTTGGCTCTCACATGGATGATTCTCACTCTTTCCCTCTTCTTTCCTCTCTGTCTGAAAATCGATTTTAAAAATAATTTTTTTTAAAAAAGGAGGGGTGAGCTTTTGGTTTCTGCGGAGCCACAGGGACTCTGTAAGTGCCATCCATTCTGGCAAATAACCAAAACAGAGTCACTTGCCATCATTGTGTTGGCCCACTTCTTCTCTGTCTCTCAAATTGAGGGGCAGGAGGCCAAGCCGGATTTCTGAGACTTTTAGGTCAGGGAGGGGCATAAAGTCCTGTAACCACAGCAGCCATAAGACTAACGTATCCTTAACATTACATAGTATTTGAAAAAAATGAAAGAATAGAAGAGAAACAAGCAAAGCAAAAAGCCCTTAACTTACAGTTTTGAAAAGTCAAAAAGCCACATTTAAAAAGGAGTCACTATAAAGTGCAGAGTTAGAAAGCAGGGGATGAGCTGGGGTCCAATCCTAGCACCATCACTCCTGTGCTGAGGATCATAGGCTAGTAACTGGATCTCTCTACACCTCAATTTCCTCCTCGGTAAGAAAGCAAGAATAATCATCCCACCTCATCAGATTCTTCTGTGGACTAACACACATCACTTTTGTAAAGATCTCAGTAGCATGCCTAGTCATAGAATATGAATTTTAATTCCACATTTTGTAGCTTTTTAGAATATTGCTGAGTAAGGTTTTAAAGTCATATTTCATTTTTGCAAACATAGACAGAATAACAAAAATCATTCCTGGCACTTGGTGCAGGTAAGAGGCAATAAACTACCTTTGGACTTGGAAGTTATAGTGAGACTCCACACCTAGTCATTCCAGAACTAACTGCTCTGACCTCACTTCTACAGTCCTCACAACAAAGTGCTTCTAGTCTCTTATTGACCTTCTAAGGCAGCGGTTCTCAACCTGTGGGTCACGACCCCTTTGGCGGTCAAACAACCCTTTCACAGGGGTCACCTAAGACCATCCTGCATATCAGATATTTACATTACGATTCATAACAGTAGCAACATTACAGTTATAAAGTAGCAACGAAAATAATTTTATGGTTGGGTCACAACATGAGGAACTGTATTTAAAGGGCCAGAAGGTTGAGAACCACTATTCTAAGGGTATTTGTGAGGACCATCTGTGATCCTTTAAAGCTGAAATAATTTATTAGTAAAAGGCCTGGAAAGCATTTTAAATTCGTGGTTGATGTCTATTCTATCACTGACAATTCCCTCTGTTCTTCCTACTTATTTGGTAGAGGTAAGGATATTTGTGCAGCCTCTCTTCCTACTGTTTGTTCTGCTTTTCGTCTCCTCTATTGATACTCATTTCATCATTCTCTCAGAGAAGATCTCCATCAGCCTTATTAGCCTCATGCAGAAATTGTCCATAAAAGCCCAGCAAGAATAGAAGGTACCTTTGCAATAATGGTAGACTTGGCTCCAGCTTCCCTCATGTGTACAGAAAATGAAGCCTTTCCCCACCAACAGGTAGCCTGGGTCACAGGTGTAGTTGACGATCATCCCAGGAAGATATGGAGATACACGTCCTCCAGTGTGATGCCCATTGTGCACCTTGGGTGGAGGTGGGCATGCTAAGATCAAGAAAAGACTTTCAGTTAAACATAGAAGTATGAACACGCCAACACATCAAATAATATTTCTGACTCTTAGAGCCACCTAGGCAGACAGGACTCAAGGCACTAAATGTTTGCGGGTCAGTGGGAAGACTAATTAAACATAGACCTCTCAGCCTTTAAACAGGATCATGTAGTATGTCCTTCACCTGCAGAGTGTACCAGACAGAAATACCACTGGCATCTACAAATCACCCAGCCAATGCTACCTGTCCTCGCTGGAGGACGGAGCTTGTGTGGCCACTCATAGCCACAAAGGAGCTTCTGGTTGCCAGGTACTGTCACTTAAAGCTAGAAATATATGGGAAAGGATTGAGCCAGAGGCCAAGAGCACAACCACCCACTTCACTTCCCCAGGGCATCCTGAGTTCCTTTTGCTAAAGATGAGAAGAAGGGTCAACAAAATACAGTCATGGGCTGAGCAGAACTCTTAGAAGTAACAAGAGGAGCACAAATGGTTACATCGGGACTTGCCTAATTACTTATAGAGCATTACCAATTTTGAAGGAAATTATTCTTACGTAGCATAAAAGCAGCTAGTAATAGAGATGGCATAACCCAATATTTTCACTGGTTTTAAAATATTCTCTATCAACTTTGGGCCTCCCTGATTCTCTCCACTCTCTTCTGCCTACTCTCCTCACCATCCTACATTCCTCACCCCAGTGGGCAGGGTCATCAGAATACCACCAGTTGGGGCACAGTGCAGCACCTCTTGAACCATCTGTTATTCTCCTGGCAGGTTCTTCTGTGTCTGATATTCATAACAAAGTGATATTCAGAGGAACACGAACTGTCACAATAGAAATATGGAGGTTCTTGCCAGACGCACTGACCCATATGGGAGGTGGGGAAATGTGTACTGACCAGCAGGACCAGAAAGTTCACAGCGAGGGGCAGGGCCGCTCCAGATCCCGTGCCCTTGACTGTCACTTGTGCAGCGGATGGTGCGCTCCCCAATGAGGCTGAAGGTCGTCCCTCTGTCTGGGTGGGAGTCGCATGTATAAGATATTTCTGTTCCATAGGGAATGACTCTCAGAGAAGTTCCTGTGTGTTTTCCATTAAGGATAGCTGGAGGATTTGTACAAAAGATTTCTAGAAAGAAGACAAGAGCGTAGAGTTTCAATCAAATGATTATGCAATATTGGTATCATAGGACTGTGTTATAAACACATTCTGTTTTGAAAAAAAATTTTTAATTGATTTCAGAGAGGAAGGGAGTGGGGGAGAGAGAGATGGAAACATCAATGATGAGAGAGAATCATTGATCGGCTGCCTCCTGTATGCCCCCTACTGGGGATTGAGCCCACAACAGGGGCATGTGCCCTGACCAGGAATCCAACTGTGACCTCCTGGTTCATAGGTCGACGCTCAACCACTGAGCCACATCAGCCAGGTATAAACACATTTCTTTCTATGATAATATAACTAAGGTGCATGCAATTTATATATGTAGAACATTTTTAGAGAAGAAACTAAGGAAGATGAGTCAAAGCTTGCAGTTTATTGCAAACGTCCAAAAGACCCTCCGGGCAGCTAAGATTGTAATCAATCTGAAAGGTAATTAAGTTGTTTTTTTCTTCAGCAGCCATTTGATGTCCTACTTTATGTCAGATGTAGTAAGAGTCCTGGGCTGACAACGCAATACAAGATAAACAAGGTTTTGGCTCTCAGCTGTCTGAAGGTCCAGGGAAATCTCTGCGAAATTTGTGAAATGTGGGCTATCGGTTGCAGCCGCTGTAAATGTTTCTCGATGACTGAGACCGTTATCATCAGTGCCCACATCAAATACACCGTAATGCCATCAGAATCATTGATTCCTACAGTCAGACGAAAAGGCACGGGGTAGCCTTTTCTTTCTTCTTCTTTCGCTTTTTTCTTTCTTCCAAGATACCAGCTGTCATTTTTTCCTGGCTGTTAGTGTATCTATTTTTAGCAATTCCCTCCCTAAAACTAATCTGATGCTTCTAAACTGATATAAATTGGGGAAGAGATACCCAAGCTTATCAGAATTGTATGTATACTAGGAAACAAGTGAAGGTTTTAGTACCTCAAAGAATAATTGATTTGTTTGTGTTTATCCAAAGTTTAATTATAAATTTATTTTCAGTTTTATGTGTGTTGGGAAGGTTGAGCTTGATGAATAGCTGAGTTTTATACATATGGAATGTTCTCATAAAGTTCCACCATAATCACATAAGATGAACAAATAGATTTCTCACAAGGTAGTTTATCAAAATCCAAATTAAAAATGAATATTTTTCAATCATCAAAAAATGGTATTTTTAAAAAATCTTTCTTTGCTTTAGTTAACAGAGTAGGCTAAATCAGTTATGTCTTGGTGAATAAAACACTTTTATCTATTTATCAGTTTCTGAATCTTCAGCATGTTTTATTTAAGCAAGTGGTTTGAAAATTCAGGGCACCTCATCTCATTTCAAATATTAATTCACCTCCCTGTACCATACAAATTTACCATATAACACTGTTTTTTTAAAAAAAAATTATAACACATCAATTTTAACATATTTAATGCATTCAATTTTTATGTTTATTTATTTATTTTCTTGTTCGTGGGCAGCCTCCCTAAGTAGAAAATGAACTCCATGCCCGGCCGGTGTGGCTCAGTGGTTCATCATGGACCCATGAAGCATGCGGTCAGGTTTCAATTCCACGTCAGGGTACAAGCTTGGGTTGCGGGTTCGATCCCCAGTAGGGGGCGCACAGGAGGCAGCCGGTCAATGATTCTCTTTCATCATTGATGTTCCTCTCTCTCTCTCCCTCTCCCTTCCTCTCTGAAATCAATAAAAAAGTGAACTCCACGAGAACAGGGATATATATGTCTTCCCTATTCATTACTCTCCCCACATGGAAAGTCTTGACATGTGGCCCTTCCTCAGGACTAAACAACAGGATGGATGAATAGTTTAGATCAGTGAGGGGATAAACGGACATATATATGTAAGAGAAACTAAAAAATAAATGAATAAATACATTTTGGCAGACCTTTGTGCCATCTGGTTTCTCCCTTCATATTCCCCACAAAATTCAGCACTGGCATTAATCTAGTGACTTATAGATAGCAACATAAGCACAGTGTATAAGATCTACATGACCTGTTGTGAAATTCTTCCAACAAAATGTATTTTTGTAAGGAATTTGGTGAAAAATCCAGATGACAGGTGAGACCATGAGACACAGCACACAGGAAATAGAAAGGAGAGCTACCCGGGTTGCATGATTGTTCCTTCTACTCACGTTCACACACAGGGACACTGCTGCTCCAACGGCTTTTCATTCCGACCAAGACACAGTGGCTAACAGAGCTGCCTTTTAATCGGAACCTAAAGTTAAAAAAGGGGAGTAGCAAATAGGTAAGCAACTCCCATCTCTTTCTTCATCGCATCACTGATAGATACTCAAGTTGCTCCCTTCCATCTAAATACCATTTGGCTCTTAGGTTGGGGCCCAGTTGAGAGTCTGTTTATTAGGGACCTGAATTCAGCAGTTGGCAGGAACTCAGAAGCCAAATTATGCTAAAGAATCACTGTATCCTGTGATGGGCAAAGCCATCAGAGATGGTAACTCAGTGGCCCTATAGACATCACAGCCCAATGTCACCTCCAGAAGTCACTGAACACAGAGCTGGGCCCCTCTTGAGCCTGGACCCAAACCCCGTCTCACAGACAGCTCTGTGACATCCCACTTATTCTCATCAGTGAATCACGGGGAAAACAGCTCTCCATCTGGGTGAGCAAAGCAGAGAACATTTACAGAGACTCGACATTGTTCTTCTTGCCACTACATTTGTAATGGCCAGAAAGAGGCTCACAGAAACACACTGAGCAAATGTTCAGGAACAAAAGGGTGAGGCCAGGAGGCTTTGTCTCCCTGAAATGCCCAGATTATTGTTGAATCCTGTTGACCTTCTAAAATATGCTCACCATGACCGAGTAGTAGACTTTGTACACATCAAAGATTCCTAGGAAACTGATAAAATTAACTGCTGTATTGCTCAATCTTGTTACCTCCACAGTGAGTGTATATTACTTGGAGACTACTGGTAGATGCATATAAACAGCTAATAATAGCAATCAAACCAATAACATTGGCCATATGGTCCCAATGTCAATGACATTACCGAAGGGAAGACATATAATTGGATTAAGAGCACTTCTTCACAAACTGTTACAAATTGTACTACTGATTGATTTGAAAGTTTCCTGAAAAAATCCTTGTCTGACTTACCACATTACAAATAATTTGTGTCTCATACATTAAACTTTTACTAGCAAAATTTTCATAAACCTCTACTTCCTGCCTCTAAACAGCTATTTATTCATATACTTCAAGTTACAAATGTGAATTCAAGGTCAGTTTTATTTATATTTTTACTCAACATTGAATGTCATGTTCCTTATCTCCTGGTAGTCCGGCTACTAAGTTCTACCACTTATTTCAAAACTGCTCAGGCATAAATATCCCTGGGTGCTTCGCTTCCATAAGTCTGTTCCCCTTTTTGGATTAACCCTTGAGCCCAAGAGGGTCACTATCCCGGTCACACTCACCCCTCATCACAAACGAAGGACACTTTAGCTCCAAGCTCGAAGTTAAGTGGCGAGAGCACACGGCCATTAGGAAGTCGGTCCCGGAAGGCAGCACATGATTTCACTACAGAAAAATAAATGAGGAGTCAGACCGCCATGTGAGGTGCAAAGACATTCATCTGCAGAAAGGGTGAGAGTGAGTGTAGGCACCTGCGCATGTGGGGTGGGCCGGGCTCCAGTCTCCCTGGGGCGTACAGCGCAGAGAGGCGGCCCCTCTGAGGTCATAGCCGGGCTCACAGCTGTACAGCACCTCCTGCCCAGGGGAAAAGCTGTCCTTGTCGCTGGGGCTGTGCTGGCCATGCAGGATTTCTGGAGGCAGCTGACAAACTGGGGGAAGAACAGGCACAGCGTTCCTGTCAGTTATGGGGGAATTTGCTACACCCTGCACCTGCCAGGGAGCTTAAAAATCCTAATTACAGAGTACAGGATTGAAAAGAATGGGTAGTTTCACACCCACCTTTTACTGAGGAGCAGAGTAAGGCCACAGTTCAGAGCTGTGATTAAAACCAAAGGCTCTCTAACCCCTGTCTGTGATTTTTTTCTACTAAAATGTTCCCAAGACAACAAGCAGAATGGGTTTTTCTGCTTCCCAGGCCTGGCCATCCAATCCAGCTGAGTGCTGGAGGCTTGTTCCACTCTTTACTTCATAGGGGGCAGCCTTTCTGGCAACAACAAAGGATACCTTTGCCCAAGTCTCAACTAACAGACCCATCAGTCAGGCATCCCCCTTCATGCTTCCTTCCATCTCCTCTTTCAGAACCGTTAGCCTCCTCTGGATCCCTATGTGCCAGCCCGGATTCTTCCCACTCCATGCTAAGCCAGGCATTTTAGCAAGGAAGACAAGTCATCGAAAGCAAAATCCCCTTAAACACACACCCACAAAAACTATACACTGTTTAAAGAGAGAACATACTAGTACAGGGATGGGCAAAAGTAGTTTTAGAGTTGTGAGTACAAGAAATACAAGTATCCATATATAATGATTTCAGAGAGGAAAGGAGAGGGAGAGAGAGTTAGAAACATCAATGATGAGAGAGAATCACCTATCAGCTGCCTCCTGCACGCCCCCCTACTGGGGATAGAATGCTCTTGACTGGATTCGAACCCGGGACCCTTCAGTCTGTAGACCGAAGCTCTATCCACTGAGCTAAGCCAACTAGGGCTTATTCTTGTAATATTATTTATTAATTACTGTTGTATTCACTTGTATTACAACTGTAAACCTGCATTTGCCCACCTCTGTCTTGTTTACTTGGAGCATATTTTGACTCAAATTTTGGCAATCTCTATCCACATCCCAATTGGTGAATTTCAATCTGAACCATATAGAATTGAATACAAATTACATATACAGTATATTTGAATTTGAGCAAGTCATTTCCCCTATCTGAGCCTCCAAGTTTTCAGCAAGAGCATGAGGGAGTTGAAACAGAATGATTGAAGTCTAAGGTCTTTTTAATCTGATGCTATAATTTTGGTCCCCATCTGCCTCCTGACCTCTCCCCCCAGTAACAGATCTATGCCATTGTTCTCATCCATTATTGTTCACCATGCATTTCACTAGGCTTTGCAATCAGAAAGGCTCCTGAATTCCAGGCCTTGTAGCTTCCTAGCGCTGGGACCTGGACAGTTATTTAACAGATCTAGGACTCAATTTTCTCCATGTAAAATGGGGATAAAAACAGTTCCTACCTCTGATGCTTGCTCTAGTTATTAAATTAAACAACACATAAAATGTGTGTATAGATGAGACAGAAAATTATTACTATTTGACTATTATTATTACAGATGACAGATAGTAGAGATAGTATTGTTTAAAGTGTTTATACCATTTTCCTAGCCCTTGTATACGCACACACACTTGCATACACACCCTTTCCTTAATCTCAGCAACTTCTATCATTTACATGTCTCTCTCCCGGCCCCCCTCTCCCCTCAGTAAGGGTTCGTGGATGAAACTTACCCCTGGAGCAGCTTGGCAGCTCAGGCACCCATGTATTGTTGGCTTGGCATTGCACAGTGTTGGGCCCTTTCATAACAAAACCAGGCTGACATCTGAATCTCACCATGTCATTTAAAGAGAATAAACTCCTATTTCCTGATGCTCTAATCCCATTTTCAACTTCCGGAATTGTGCATTTATTAGCAGAAATACACTGAGGAGGAGGGCTGCTCCAAACACCAAGTTGACCATCTTTGCTGATACAATATAGAAATTGTTCTCCCTTGAGGTCAAACAGCTTTTCTCCATTCGGCCCAGTGTGACATCGATAAGTTACCCGTGTTGCATATTGGAAAACATTTCTACTGCTGCTGTAGAAGTCTCCGTTGAATATGGCTGGGGGTGGCTCACAAGATATCCCTGGGATAAGAAAGAGTATGGTAAACAACAGCTCAATTTTTAATTTTTAAGATAATTGTATAGTGTTATCCTGGGTTCTGAGCAAAACTGAGGGGAAGGTACAGAGATTTCTCATTTACTCTCAGCCCCCACACATGCATAGCTCCCCCTTTATCAGTAGCCCCCACCAGAGTGGTATGTTTGTTACAATTGATGAACCTGTATAGATACATCATAGTCACCCAAAGCCCCCAGTTTACTTTCAGATCACTTCTGATGTTCTGTATTCTGTGGGTTTGGACAAGTATATAATGGTATGTATTGACCACTGTGGTATCATGCAGAAAACTTTTACTGTCCTAAAAATCCTCTGTGTTCCTCCTACTAATCCCACCTACCATTCCAACCTCTGGTGACCACAGTTTTTACTGTCTCTGTAGTTTTGCCTGTTCTATAATATTTTTTACAATGACTTTACTAAGAATTTAAATAAAAAATAATAATCAAATTATTTCCCAGAGTGTACCTAAATATTACTAGATAGCACTAAAAAACTATTAATTTCCCCTAATATTTGCTAATGATCAGACATGTTTACATAATTAAAATTTAGGTGTGTGATATTGATTCTACTTATAATAATTTTTATTGTAAAAATATCCATGTATTATTATGGTTTACATATTTGTGATTTTAACTGGATAATCTATATGATTTTTTATCACAGATTGTTATTAACTTAATGCTGGGCTATTGTTTTCTATTGGCTATTTAATAACATCTTTGCAGGTTAAATACACCACTTCTGGAACTACTCATCAAGAAGAGATTAAAATGGAGCATTTGAGACTTTGCTCCCCAGCATATGTCATCAAAGGAACTCTTATAAAGAATAATTTTTTTTTTTAAAAAGAGGAGAGAGTGAGAGAGTGATGTCAGCATCTTGGTGGTGTGAGTTATTGCTTTTTTTCTCTCCTGTTGTATTTACAACTCACCGGTCATACATAACCAAACAAAAGTGCCTCTGCACGTTGTACCAGAATACTCAGGAGATTCCACCCACCTGTCATTCAGAAGGTAAGTGGGTAGGACCTTGGAGTAGGCAGTGGATCTATCTGGTTCAGTGAACCTGCCACAAACTGACTAGTAATAATTGCAAAACAATGAACCTGGAAAGTGCAAAACATGGTGGAGGAAGAATGTGTGGCGGTCCAGCCAGCCTCAAGGGACAATAAGACACTCCATTGAAGCAGGGTGTAGATGAATTGGGAGGCAGAAAAGAGGAGTAGCTCAAGGACTCTTAGGATAACACCACAACATACTGGGCTTTCACTGGTGTTGACAGGAGTGACCTCCCTCATAGAGGAGTGGTAAGGCAATAGTTGTATTTATCGAGAGGGTATTTGGATAAAGCAGCCAGTGACTGACTGCCCAGCTGTGCAGGTCTCATGGATTTCTGAGGGTAACTTCTGTCTCTGGGTGTAGGGCAAGGAAAGGAAAAGAGGCAGGCAAGAATGACAAAGGACATTGAAGGAACAGGCTCCCTGCTGTCACTTTGGAATTTCAGCAGAGGTCTGCCCTCCCACCTCTGGGATCCCCCTACTGGGCTGTGGATAGCTACGAAGCCTCATGTGTTAGCCACATTTTCCCACTCTGCCACCAGCTTTTTATACACCAGGTTTTTTTAAATTTCTCTTTGTTTTTTTCCCCTTTTCCCCATGCTCCCCAGTGCAGCCCAACAGCCAGGTCAGGTAAAGAGAAATTAAAAACATGAATTATAGTGCCTCCATTTGGAAAACAAAAGAATGATTTCTAATCATAGAACTGTACACCTGAAACCTATATACTTTTATTTACCAATGTCACCCCAATAAATTCAATTAAAAAGAGAAAATTATTTTAGAAAAGAAAAAATTATATAAAATGTAAGGCACGAGAAATGAAATAATCATTGATTCAGGGGTAATAAAATAATAAAAGAGTATTATGTCCTATTAGAAGATAAAATTTTAAAAATATGACTACACACACATTCATATATATATATCTCCAATATTGACTCAGTTAACTGTTTATTGACCTAAAAATACCATAGAAGTGGAAACATTTTTCATCAGAGATAACCCCCTACAAAACGTGTTAGGCCTAGCAAAATTTTTATAGTAAACGGATAATATCTTGCTAATTTATACTTTTTCAGAGAATTTCAAATTATGGGCAGGTTTAAGGAGGCACCTTGTATAACTTCTCATTCATTTCTTTGGATCTTTAAAAGCTAAAGTTAGTTTGTGTGTATGTGTGTGTGTGTGTGTGTGAATACTTGTGAATACAATGAATACATTCATTGTAGGAATTTTACAAAATATGGACAAACCAAAATAAGAAAATAATAACGGTCCAAAAATAAATATCCTTAATTTAATGCATATCATTTCAGATATGTATGTATGCACATGCTGAATTTATATTTTATAGAATATCATACTTGTTAGCTGGATAACATTTAGGCATGCCAGTAAATAGATATAGTGTTTATTTCTGCTTGGATGAGGCATCTCAGTCTCTAATTTCATCTTACATCTTTCTTAAAATTTTATAATCATTTTTAATAAGCCTTGTTTCTTCTATTAGCTATTTTCAAACCATGCTGAACATTTAGATTCTTAACATTTCCCACGATTATAAATATAATTGCATTGAATGTCTTTAGACCAAAATCATGGGCAAATTCCATGATTATGTTCTAGAAAATGGAATTGCTAGGTCAAAGGGTATTGCATTACGGCTTTTGTATTTATTCCTCACTAGCCTTCCAGAAGTCTGTGCCCACTTTTACTGATATCAATTCTGCAGGTGATACTGATTCCTTAACAGCCTTAACACTCTATCCATTTATATTCAGTCTTCCATGTTCATCAAAGTTTTGGAGGTTCACTTTACAACATCCCATTGAATGCAGATTCAGCTAATCAGGAACAAATACAACTAGGGCTTGAGCATGGAGGAATTCGAAGGAGGAAGAAGGGTCCAGAGCCTTGTTAAGAAGTGTAATTTTTTTCTTTAGTTGTTCAAAGTAAGAACAATAAGGAAGAGAGTCATGTATCTCTTTCCTGGGATTTTTGTGTGCTATTACAAGGTGGCAGAGACAGGTTGAATTTTCTCTAATGTCTTTTGAATTTACTCAAAGGAGAATGATCTTTTTTCGGGAAAGAGTTTACTATAAAAGTAGGAGAGTAGGACAGTTTGACCTGAGGTCAAGCCCACAGTTTCAGATAAATGACCTCTTAAAATTAAAAACAAAAAGCCAAACTGGAGAACCATGTAACAATTGACTCCAATTCTCAAGTATCTCAGAGACTAGTCTGTGCATGAAGGATTAAATCTTTTCTTGTAACTACAGGGTCAAATCAGGGTCAATTGGAGGGAATTATGGGGAAAGATATTTCCACTCACTTTCACAGACAGGCGCCTCCTGATCCCAAGTGACGCTATTGCCTGAGAGGTTACAAGCAGCAGATGGGGAGCCAATGAGTCGATACCTAGAAACAAGATGAAAAATGATTATATCCTACATGTTTCCCACTTACATCACCATGAGAAAATAATGCCAAGAGGATTTCACAAATTATAGGACAAACTGACACATGGGAGACCGCAAAGAAGAAACCCCATTTCCACCTGCAAACCAGTTGTTTATTGCTAAGAACAAATATAAATTCCCACCTCTTTAATCCATCATTCCTAGTCCCTCAGAATTCAGTGCAATAACTGTATTATTCATAATGGAGCATTTTTGAAGTTATCTTTAGGGAAATTGAGGTGTGTGTTTTTTTTAATCCATGTGTATTGTCAAGGCAATTAGGAACTCCTCAAAGGCAGAAAATGTCTTAATGGAAATATGTGCAGTCCCTGGCCCTAGTCAAATGACACTTAAGCTCAGGGTGCTCACAAAACATTTGTTGATTGAAGGAATTGAATGATGGCTTTACCCTGAAGATTCAGTGAAGAGCCAGAAGAAGCAGTTAATTATTTTCATACTTTAATGGTGGAAAGCAGGGGTATTTGTCCACTGTGCCATAAAACCATTCAAAATACGTCACAAACTTTGGAATATCACATCTTCTTTTTATTTATTATGTCCCTATACTGTTACTGCAAGAAATGTCACAAAGGATACTTGCTAAGATAGTCAAGTGTTCCAAAATACAGCAGGACTAACCTCGATTAAGTGAAAGTTAAGGTGTCTAATGCAATGTCATGTAACAGTGGGATCGTTTCTGGACCAGCTAAGAACTTTGCCTCTGGATTACGTAAGATACATGATCAGGGCAGTTAACCATCTGTAGCAGAAACTCTAAGTGTCTCCAGTATCCACTTTTCACTTCCTTATTAGTAACAGAATCCTGTGTTTTTAACTGACCTATGCCCACTTCTAATTATCATTTTAAAGATTAAGTTAATTCATGTAAATTACTTGGTAGACTGCTTGGGACAACTGCACTCAATAATCATTCATTATTGCTTTTCTATAGGTAATCTGCAATGGCTATTTAAATTTTCTCTTTGATCAAGATCCAAAACTTTGAATTTTAATTAATTTTTGCTTATGAGTTCCTATTGTTATTGTACTATACTCACATAGAAGATATCAAAACACATCTAGTATGGAAATTATTCTTTTTTTCAAGAAATATATCTAATTGGTATATGTTGTGGATACTTGGTCATGTAAGACTACACTTCTGCGACTTGGCTGACTACAGATATTTTATAGCACAATATTTTCCCTCAAAACACGAATTTCCACTATTTAGAGTGTGAAAAAAAAAAACATTTGATGACAATATAAATTTTTTTCTGTTTATTTTAGCTCTGGAGAATTGCATATTTTTTTGATATCTGAATGTCATAAATTTTTTCCATACAGGGTAAGGGCCTCTTATCATTTATTCTGCATTTGTTCAGTAAGCTTTAGGATGCCAACAATCTAATCTCTTTCTTTCTGACCTGGGAAAGTATCTTCCATTCTCTGCTAGTTGATACTACACCAATTTTGGCTTTATAATTTTTTTCTCATGTTTCAAGGTGTATGAAAATGTGTGTGAGTGTGAGTGTGTGTGTGTGTGTGTGTGTGTGTGTGTGTGTAATTTCCAGTGTTGTCTTTCATTTATTTTGGAGAATTTAATTCTGCTTTCTCATGATCTATTTGGTTTCTTTTTCTTAGAATTCAATCTTTGATTATTATTGCTTTTTTAGAGTCCTGTATGTTTATTCATATATAAACTTTACTGATGTCAGATCACTAAACCTTACAAATGCCTCTTTTTTTAAAAAAAAAATGTATTTTATTCATTTTTTACAGAGAGGAAGGGAGAGGGATCGAGAGTTAGAAAAAATCGATCAGCTGCCTCCTGCACACTCCCTACTGGGGATGTGCCTGCAACCAAGGTACATGCCCTTGACCGGAATCGAACCTGGGACCCTTCAGTCCGCAGGCCAACGCTCTATCCACTGAGCCAAACCTGTTAGGGCACAAATGCTTCTTATTTGTTCTATGTTACAAACAGATATGAGAGATTTCTAATACCCTGTTTTGGCGTTCATTCCCTTATTTATTGGAATACACTGATTTGTAGAGGAATATTTCCTCTGATTTCTCAGATTGATCTCTTTTATTTTCAATTGCTCAATCTTCCTTCCCTTGTATTCATGTTTTGCTCATGAAAAAAAGGGCTCTACTCTAGGCTTATTCACAATGGGAGGTGAGAAAGAACTGGTGAAGAGATTGTATGGAAATAGGTTAAAATCTCCAGACTCAGACAAAGTGAGCAGGGGTGAATGTGGATTTATCCTGGTTTAAAATTGCTGGATCATAGGTACAATACCTAGATTCTACTTGAGTAGGATAGGATAGGACCGATCACCAAGGGCAGTTTATGCAGAAAGATGTGATATATTTAGATACCTTTTTTCCTCTAAATTTATTGTGGCAACTAAAAATTAATATACTTTCTTTAATTGCTCTAAATCGAGGCAACGGCTTCTAGCTCAGTTACTTGCCCAAAGAAAATTCAAGAGCAAAAATTCCACTAGTGTCCCTACACTGTGTGCATTTGAATGCTTATGTTTCCCAGAACTGATATTATATATGATTTGCCCTCCCACCTCCCTTTTTAGGGTCCTCCAACTCAGCTACAGTACTCACTGACCTCAGTTAAGGATGTCTGCATGGTTCAACTAGAATTTATCCTTCTATGGATTTGGCAGGCTGATCCTTTTTATCTAGTGGCTATCTTACCAGGTTTCACGTGGGCTGCCTTCGGCAAGAGCATGGTGCCCTCCCTGGTTCATCATGCAGATAGAGATTCATCTCTTTTTTAAGATTCCTTTGGTCATGTGCCCATGTTCAAGCTACCATCTCTGTTTAGAACTCCCATTGCTTACTTTTTAAAGTACAGGGGGCAGTAGTCTAGCTTGCCTCTCTGAGATTGGGACAGAGATTGACACTGCTGTTCAAATTCCAAAGAGAGTGCTCCCAACTCACCCTTCATTACACGAATAATTCACTGTTGATCCAAAGTAAGTATCTGTGTTTATTTGCACCATGCCATTGAAAGGTTTTGGTGGAGAGCCACATGATTTTCCTAGGAGAAAGCAGCAGAATTTGGGACTAGGTGTAGAGTTAAATTTACATTTGATTTAAGATTCAGACTGGAGTGTAGCACGCCTAACCTATATATTTGTGATTTTCCCCACAGAATTGCCACTTTGAGGATACTTACCATACAACCTTAGAATCAAGTAGCTACAGAGCATCTCTCAATAAAAAATCATTCATGGCTAAAGAATTGTTTTCTCATCCCACCAACCTAAATCAAAGGCTTCATAATTTGAGATTTCCCTCCATCTTAGTTAGCTAAGCACAGTTCACTGGGACCCACATAATTTTCTTGGGTGTTCCTTTTTCATTCATTCATACCATTCAAGGTACCCTCCAGTGAATGGAAAGCTTCCCTACAATTCCTTTAGTGTGAGTCTTTCCCAGGAAATGAGTATCTGGTCAAGCTGCAGAAAGCCAGACAATAAAAAGGGATGACTTACAAGTCTACCCTCCATGTAAATACCTTAGATATCTCACCTTCAAAATCAAAACAAGTTAAATCAGATCTCATAGATGCTTTGACATACAGAACATAGTTCCCAGGATAGGGTTACTCACGTCTACAGCCATCTTCCACATTTGACCAAACCAAATTTTCTAAGCAGGTGATAGAGAATATCTTCTCAAAATACCCAGGGGAGCACCTGTAGCTCAAAGATGTCCCCACTGGAAACTCAGACTCATCAGTTAGGGTTGTAGGCTTGGCAAACAGAAATGGGTCTGGAGCTTTACAGTAACCTGGAGATTAAAGCCACAGGAATATCACGTGAGCAATGAGACTTCCACTCCACCCTTCTCCCTCTCCCATTAAGTTGATATATGAGCACATAAACAGACTTATCATAATGGCAAGTATTTTATTCTTCTGGAAGTTACCTTAGGATGGTGCTTTCCAACAACATCGACTCATCAAAAATTTTTGCCACTTAAAGACTATTTACCTTTCTGAACTTTCTCCTCTTATTTCACCGAAGCAAGACATTTAGCTAATGGTTTCACATGTCAGACCTCCTATCAGAATGCCTAGAGTTAACCTAGTTAATTCATATCCTCATTTATTGGTGTTAATGTACCCTTGTATAGCAAGACATATTTTACCATCTCTTTCCATTTATTCCTCCCTGCCTCTTTCCCAGGATGCTCATCAGAAGCTGCCCCTCTGGCACTAAAGAGATGTCACCACTATTAGTGGGTTGAATGATGTTTCCCCCAAAGATCCATCCATCCAGAATCTCAGAATGGGAACTCATTTGAAATAGGGGTATTTTCAGGTATAATTAAGGTAATGATAGTGAAATGAGATTATTCTATGTGAACAGGATGGTCCTAAATTCAATGACTGGCGGTGTACTGAGAAAAGAAAAGAAAGGAAGATTGGAGACACAAAGACAGAGCGGAAAAGGCCATGTGAAGACAGAGGCAGGGATTAGAGTGATGAGCCCACAAACCAGAAGCCACGAGAAGCTGGAAGAAGCAAAGAGGGATTCTCCTCTAGAGCCATAGGAAGGATTGGGGCCCTGCCAACTCCTGGATTTCAGACTTCGAGCCCCATTATCTATGAAAGAATAACTTTTTATTATTTTAAGCCACCTAGTTTGTGGTAATTTGTTATGGCAGCCCTAGGAAACAAAAGACTATTCTTCTCATTCTGATGCTAAACCAGACACTTAAGGACCAGGACAAATAGATTAAGCCATTCAGCAGCATCCTGGCAGAAGCTATGTCTTCTTTATGAGAGGGTATATTGTATGCTGCACGTTTGAAATAGAGTCTGAACTCCATCGTCTCTTCTTTGGAGGAGACTGCTTCTGTTTGCCAGTTCAATGGGCCTGGCCGGGGTCTAGGCATCTGCATTTAGAGAAATGCCATTAGATTCAGATATAGAACACCCATTTGGAGGGTGAGAGAGATCAAAGAAAGGCTAAATGCTTTTCATCACGTGGCCTTTTCTCATGGTATTGCTCTTCTCTCAGGCTTCCCTGAAGGGGAAGTGGTATTCCAAGGCTGGCCCTGCCCAGAGTCTACTCCAGGTTTCATTCTTAGAAAGGCCTCAAGTCAGGCCTCAAGTACCAGGCCATCTTCTCTAGTCCTTAGAAATAGTCCCTTCCTTTTTGTACTATTTTCCTTGAGCTGATCTTTCCTTGCTTCTTCTCACTCCCAGAAGGAACGGAAGAGTTCAAGGAAAGATTAAGATGGGCCCCTAGGCAAGCTGACAAATGGGTGAACTTTGAGTTGAGGTCTTTAGATACAAAGGTATAGTGAGTTTATTTTGTTACTTAACATATTCAGCAAAAGACTAGCTAAAGCCTTAGCTAAATAATATCTATATTTCCAGTTTTATCCTTTGCATGCCCATGACCTTGTAGAGGGTGCTTTATCAGTTATCCTAATATTGGTTAGTTTGCATAGGCCAGTGGTCGGCAAACTCATTAGTCAACAGAGCCAAATATAAACAGTGCAACGATTGAAATTTCTTTTGAGAGCCAAATTTTTTAAACTTAACCTATAAAGGTAGGTACATTGTTATTAACTTAATTAGGGTACTCCTAAGGCTTAGGAAGAGCCACACTCAAGGGGCCAAAGAGCCACGCGTGGCTCGCGAGCCGCAGTTTGCCGACCACTGGCATAGGCAATTGTTTTCCTGTCCTCTCCAATGAACATATCTTCCTGACTTACACAGGTGCTTACTGTCTTCTCTCCACCCTTTCCCTTTCTCCTCTCCCCCTACTCGCCTCACCACTTAACCAGCAAGATGAGTTATTAGCATCTTCCCTATGCAGTCATAGCTTGGCACTGCTGGAACCATCTGTTTCAGCGATGGCATGTAATTTGACACTTCCACTTATGACAGTTAAACACATAAGCAAACACTGTAATCTTATGATAGAAATATAAAAGTTCTGGTACAGATATTCTGAACCCACTTAGGGTGTACGCAGGTGGGTACTGACCAGCAGGACCAGAAAGTTCACAGCGAGGGGCAGGGCCGCTCCAGATCCCGTGCCCTTGACTGTCACTGGTGCAGCGGATGGTGCGCTCCCCAATGAGATTGAAGGTCAGCCCTCTGTCTGGGTGGGAGTCACATGTATAAGATATTTCTGTTCCATAGGGAATGTCTCTGAGAGAAGTTCCTATGTGGTTTCCATTAAGAATAGCAGGGGGATCCGGACAAAAGATTTCTAGAAAGAAGACAAGAGCCATAAGTTATATTATAATGTTTACATTTTAATCTGATTTGATTCTCCGTTATGATGCTATGACTGCATTGCCAATTAAAGAACAATCAAGCCCTTAGGGAGCATATAGACTGTAAAATAAATATATTATCAGGGGGACTAATTATCAAATCTTCTGCCGAGATGCAGCTAAATGACAAGACACTTAAACCAATGTTTATTACAGAAGTCCAAAAGGGGTTTAGCATCCTGAACTCTTCAGAGAGTTAAGACTTCTGGATAATTTAGAGCTTATTCATTTAAAGTAAAAGAAAAAAATCTTAACCACCTTAACAAGAAAATCACCAATTTAATAAAAAAAAAATCATCCATTAATTTAACAAACAAGTTTTTGAGCACTTACTATATATCAAGTACCATTTTAAGCACAAAATAGACATCAAGGATTTTCATCCTAGAGAAATCTTTCAAAATATATTATATATTTACTACTTCTCTGTGATTTAATCTTTTTTGATGACTTGAGGCTGTTATTCTAAAAAACAAAATGAATGGGACAGTAATGTCACAATGAAATGCAACATCCTCCATACTCCTGTGCATGCTCCAAATGGCTCAGAAATGATAGGACTTTTGAGATACTTACTAGTTTTTACAGATTTTATTTCTTTTGAGTATAACTATCTGGAGAAGCTCCTTTCCCCTTCTGATTTGATCAGTATTTGGGAAGAGGATACTGCAACTTGATAGGATCATGGATAAACTAATCCCATCTGGCCAGTGTGGCTCAGGGGTTGAGCATTGACCTATGAACCAGGAGGTCACAGTTCGATTTCTGGTAAGAGTTCATGCCAGGCTTATGGGCTCCATCCCCAGCAGGGGGTGTGCAGGAGGCAGCCTATCAATGATTGTCTTTCATCACAATGTTTCTCTCTCTCCTGCCCTCTCTCTAAAATCAATAAAAACATATATATATATATATTTTTTTTTTTTTAAAAAACTAATCTCAGAGTGGAATAGCTTAATCAACATTTACACTTTAGTAAGCCATTTTAAGTATATCTTTGGGTTGATGAGAGGATTTTTTTTCTTTTTCTTTTTTCATGCTTCTTAACTATACTTTCAGAAAGTTAAGATTTTCTAATAGGTGACTTCCAAATATGAAAGAGCTAATTATCAAGATTCATGATATAAATCAGTACAAGAAGTCCAATTTTAAAGCAGAGTACTCACATGAAAAATTCTATTGTAAACATGTATTTTTCAATAGTTATGATCAGAAGACGAAGCAATATTCTGTTTGATTTAGTAAAGAAATAAATGGACAGACTGAATATATTGGCAGTGTTTCCGTATTTAACACACTATATTTCTGTCATCTTAAAAACAAAAAATAACTTTCTTAATTCCGCTTCCCTCTGCAGTTCCATTTCTCTACTCCTTTACGTTAGAGCTCCTTTAAGATGTTGCCTGTGACCTTTCGTTCCTCCCCTTCCTTCTTCCTTGAACGCATTCCAATCAAGCATATGCTCCCACAACTCTACTAAAACTGCGTTTGTTAAGGTCACCCATTACCTCCAAGTCACTCAACCTGTGCGTAATTTTCTGTCCTCAGCTTATTTGACCTCTCTGTGGAATTTGAAAGAGTTGCTTGGACTCATCTTCTTAAAGTAATTTCTCCACTGGGCTTCCAAAGATACCCTCATCCTCCTGGTTTTTTGCTTAATGCACCGGCTGCTTCTTCATCTCTTCTACTGACTCATAGTTCTGAGTTCTAATGTTGGATTTACGAGGCATGGCCCATGCACCTGCTCTATGGACACACTCCCTCACTGGGTGACCTCATTTAGTCTCTATTTTAATCTCTATGTGTAAACCACCAGCAACTTCTGTCATTTCTACCTTCCGAATGCATCCAGAATTTGAGCACTTTTTATCACCTCTCCCACTGCTATTCTGGGCTAACATTTCTGATTAGATTTTTACAGTAGCTTCCTAGCTTGTACTCTCAGATGTTCTTGGCTATACCTGACTTTCTGGCCCCTCAGCTGTTCACTCTACACCAGCTCCATAAGCTTCCAAGAAAATGTTAGAACAGGCTTTTTAAAGGAAATTCCAAGAAAACATCTGCCTTGGGCCTTTCTTTGCATTTCCTGTTCCATCTGAATGGAAGGTTCTTCCTCTATGTAATTCACATTGGCATCAACTAATTGCTGCCAGTGCTTAATTGTTACTTCCTCATTAAGGATTTCCTTAATTACCTTATTTAAAATAGAAACTTTATTCTTTTTTCCCCTGGCATTCCTTATTCCCATTCCCATAACTATTCTATTCATTATCTTTTTTTCCCCTTTAATGACACTTAGTATTATTTGAACTTATTTATCCATGTGTTTCCTTGTCTACTTGTTATTTTTTAAAATCTTTCTTCCCATCCAGGAATATAAACAGCATGGGGGTAGGGATCTAGTCTATCTTGTTTATAGGCATACTCCTGGTGTCTAGAAGACTGGCACATAGGAAGGGCTAAAAAGTAATATATGGATGAATAGGTGATTTAGAAAAGGATAGAAAAGCTGAAATGTGACTATCACTTTTGCCAGGAAAAAAGAGAAAATTTGATAAAACTCCAGGGCACAAATTTCTCTCCATCTACAAAGCATTTCTCCCCATTTAGATATAACACATAGTATGCTACTAAATATTTTGGATAGTACCCCAAACACATGATGCTTAGGTTTATTTTCCCAAAAAAGCATTCTTTTTAACTAACCCACAAAGAAATATTTCTATTAAAAATGAAGGTAAACAGAGAAGCAGACACTTGATAATCTCATGGGGCAAAAACTCGGTAAGAAAGTGAAAAGAAGAAAAAGGAGAAATATTCAGACCTGAGCACATATTCCTTCTACTCACGTTCACACACAGGAGCACTGTTATTCCAAAGGCTCTTCGTTCCAACCCTGACACAGTGACTAGAAGAACTTCCCTGTAAATGAAACCTAAGGGACAAAAGCAGTAGTGACTGGGTGAGCGTACCCCTTCTCTCTTCCCTTCATGGTTAGATCTCAGCTTCTTCCTTTCTGCTAAAAGACAATTTAATTCCTCAGTTAAATCCCTGGTGAAAAAGCTCAGCTCATTTGGTTTCTTGGGAGAAAGGCTCAGAAAGCAAAACATTTTGAAAAATGGTAGCTTCCACTTATTGAGTAAAAGTGCTGTACCAAAGAAGGAATAAAAACATAGGCAGGCCCTAGCCAGTTTGGCTCAGTGGATAGAGCGACGGCCTGCGGACTGAAGGGTCCCAGGTTCTATTCTGGCCAAGGGCACATGCCTGGGTTGTGGGCTCAATCCCCAGTAGGAGGTGTGCAGGAGGCAGCCAATCAGTGATTCTCTCTCATCATGGATGTTTCTCTCTATCCCTCTCCCTTCCTCTCTGAAGTCAATAAAAATATATATTTAAAAAAAAACATAGGCAGGCATTTTCTTGACCTGGTCCCAGACTGCTCTCTGATAGCACCCTTTTTGTCATCAGGAGGAACTGTTTCCTCTAATACGAAATGTAGCATTTTCTTTTCTTAATGGACCAGAAGGAAAACAGCTCCTGAGGTTGGCAAGTCATAGAACATGAGGGAAGATATCCGAGACTGTACTTTTTGCCAATACACTTGGGATATTTCTAAATGAGAGCTATGGCCTATCTGGATTATTGAAGAGCAGAGCCAAAATAACTAGGGGGGAAAAAAAAGAAGAAGACGAAGAGGACAGGATTCCTTGCAGTGGTTCTCAACCTATGGGTCACGACCCTTTCACAGGGGTCGCCTAAGACCATCAGAAAACACATATATAATTACATATTGTTTTTGTGATTAATCACTACGCTTTAATTATGTTCAATTTGCAACAATGACATTGGGGGTCACCACAACATGAGGAACTGTACTAAAGGGTCGCGGCATTAGGAAGGTTGAGAACCACTGTGAGCATAATTATCCTAAAACATCTGGTTTATTTTCAGAACATTGGTCTCCTGAACTGCCTCCAGATCTTCACTGAATGACTGTTACTCAATGCCTGTCAAGGAACCCTTGGTCTTGTTAACCCCAATAACGAATGTCCCTGTTGAAGAGGGTCACTATCAGGTCACACTCACCCCTCATCACAAACGAAGGACACTTTAGCTCCAAGCTCCAAGTTAAGTGGAGAGAGCACACGGCCATTAGGAAGTCGGTCCCGGAAGGCAGCACATGATTTCACTACAGAAAAATAAACGAGGAGTCAGACCGCCATGTGAGGTGCAAAGACATTCATCTGCAGAAAGGGTGAGAGTGAGTGTAGGCACCTGCGCATGTGGGGGCGGCCGGGCTCCAGTCCCCCTGGGGCGTACAGCGCAGAGAGGCGGCCCCTCTGAGGTCATAGCCGGGCTCACAGCTGTAGCGCACCTCCTGCCCAGGGGAAAAGCTGTCCTTGTCGCTGGGGCTGTGCTGGCCATGCAGGATTTCCGGAGGCCGCTGACAAACTGGGGGAAGAACAGGCACAGCGTTCCTGTCAGTTACGGGGAATATTCTTTGCTAAATCTTAAATCATCCAAGGAGTCAGAAACTCATAGGTAGAGGGGTTCCGGTCTAACAAAGGGTCTCACACGCCTGCATTCTATTCCTGGCATGTGATTTGGACGATTTCTTTAACCTCTGAATGACCAAGCTAACTTCTCTGTCAGATGGATAAGAGAATAGCACTATTTCTCAGGAGGATTGTAGAGTCGATGAGATAAAGCACAGAGAGTCCTCATTACACAGCTGACCAGAAGGCTCACATCCTTTTTCAGTCTGAGAGCTGGTGCTTTGCCCTGAGAATTTCTCAGTAGGAACATCCCCAACGTCCCCATCCCTGATGGATTAGGCTCTTGCTCTCCAGGACGAAGGCACACTCACTGCAGTGAGGGCACCCACACACCTTCTTCCTTTCATGCTTCATGCTTCACCCCTAGAAAATTTACTCACACTGCTCAGCACACACCTCCCTCCCAGAACAAACACTAATCTGGGGGCCCTCCCACAGCTCCTGTCACCTGCAGGCCCCCTCGAAGCCTCAGTCAGACTCACCCGGGGAGCAGCTGGGCAGCTCGGGCTCCCATCTGTTTTGGGCCTGGCAGCGCACACTGGAGGGGCCTTTCATGACAAAGCCAGGCTGACACCTAAAGCTCACGATGTCATTTAAGGAGAACAAGCTTCTGTTCTCAGACTCCCTTACTCCATTTTCAACGTGCGGAGGCATGCACTTATTAGGTACGATGCACTGAGGGGCAGGGCCGCTCCACAGGCCCACTTGATCTTTGCTGGTGCAATATATTGACTCCTCGCCCACGAGTTCAAACTTTTCCCTTCCTTTTCTGTCATTGCAGTGATAGATCACCACTATTCCGTATGGAAAATAGTCTCTGCTGTTGCTACTGAAATATCCGTTGGCGATGGTTGGTGGTGGCTTACAATGAATACCTGGCGGAGGGATGGCAAGTTAAACAAAACCTCAAATTTCTTAAAGTTATGTTTAATTAGAAATATTAGGAACCAGATTTTAAAAAACCCAAATTACCAAATATGATTGTTCACAACACTTCTGCTCTTGTCGAATCTTTTCTAACATACAGACTTTTTGCACAACTGAAGATTTGATAATCACAATATGATGGCTCCTGCTCTCCTCATGAACATTATTTCAATAAATGTCCATATATAGTCCACATGCTTCACATGTTACATGAGAACTTTTATGTTCCTTCACTATTCTTAATGCAGTTTTCTCTCTATAGAAGGCAATTGGCTTTATTCTACTGCTGAGTAATATGATGTGGCATTCATTAGAGTATAGCATCTTTATCAAAAAAATAAACACAAAAAGCTCTGGCCCAGCTAACAAAAAATATGCAATATTGCACATGACACAATAATCACAGATTCAGAAGTAATAAAAATATCTGAATATATGTTCTAGTGACCAGTCTATGCTAAAAATTTAGAAAATGTGAATATTAGGGATATAGACATTTTTGCCAATATTGACTCAGGAAATGGTAGACTATAGAAGTGGAAAAATGTATCAAAAATGCTACTCCTAAAAAGATAGGAAGCACAGATAATTTTTTAGACAAATATGATCTAATATCTAAGCATCCGATAACTCCTATGCGTTTTAAAGCATTCCTGAGCATACAAAAATCTTTCTATCATTTCTACCTTATAGTAGGAACGACTATTTATTTATTTTTACTTTTAAGATGATATTTCTTGCAGAAAATTTATGAAATATAAATAAAATACCTTTAAATCTATTATCTAGAAAGAAACACTGTTAACTGTTTAATGTATAATTTTTAATATACATACATACCACATTTTTTCTAAAATATCCTTGTTGGCTTAATAATATTTCAGTGTAAGAATGTTCTATCTGATTCAACTTGGAAGAGCCCTCTTTTTTGGCTAACGCATTCTGGCATATTTTAAATTTTTTCTTTTTCTTGCAGAACACATGCTTTGTTCCTTTATTTTTCCCAATATATGTGTATTTATTGAGTTGGAAATAATATGCATATGCAAAATATTAATGTATTAAGTGCTTTAAAAACAGATAAACAGAAATTTTTAAAGCACAAAATAAAACTAATATATTCAGAAATTGTGTTTTCTTTCTAATTTCCAAAGGATCATCTCACTCTTGTTTAAATACCATTATTTCTGAAGCATTGTTTGAAATATGCTCAACATTTATATTGTTTTGGCTTTTTCACCATCACAAACAATAATGGAGGTAAATATTTGTATAGCAATATCCTTGCAAGAAAAAAACCATGGTTATTGTTTCTTAAAGAAGAAATCAGAAAATATCAAATTTCTCAATTAAAGGCATGTAGACAGTTAAGGGTTTGACACCTATTGTATATTGGCCTTTTAGAAAGTTTGTTCCCACTTATCCTACCAGCCGTTGGCTGTGAGAGTGTTGATTTCTTCACACTATCACCAAACCCAGGGGTGTATGCTCTTTATATTCTTGGTTAATATGTGATTGCTCATTGCTCTTCCTACCTAAAGTGTAGGAAGCTCACATTCCAAACAACTCCCAGGAAGACAGCATGTCACTGTTCAAAGAATAAGAGGAAGGGAGACAGCCACTGCCTCGATATATGACCTGATGCCAAGAGTGGGCAGAGAGGAAGCTGGGCCACTTTCACTAGCTGTGTGTTGACTTCACTGAAGACAACGATCTTCAAATTGGGAAGTGTTCCACCAAGAAAGGAGGAAGTTGGGGGCTGTTTTAAATTATACCCCAAGATAAGGGAAACCCAGGAGGAACTAGAAGTTTGGAACATTGTGAACGCTTTTCAGAATAGGACTCTTGGTTCAAATAGTGGAAGGATATCATTGCCAAGATGGATGAGACTGAGTCTCCATAATTCTAGGGGCACGATGCTAGGGTGCTAGGATGAACTGGTGGGATAGGTGGGAAGAGATGTTAACTCACGTTGACAGAGTGGTGGCTCTGTATCCCAAATGGCAGTATTGTTTGAGATGATACATTTGGCAGATGAGTCACCAATGAGTTGATACCTAAAGGCAAAAAGTGAAAATTATTCCATCCACCTCCCATTGACTTCCTCACAGCACGCATACGTGGCAGATTCGACAAAGTACAATCTGGGAGAAGCCCAAGGACTAGCCTAACCTCCACCTGTTCTATCTGGGTTTCCTTATTTCTCTTTTCCTACCCTCTGACTATCGAAAGGGATTTTTCATCTTTAATTCCTCATGGCAGTACTCTGCTTCCTTGGGCTTCATTGTGGATTGTATCAGGACCAAAAGAAAATAATCCTCTTGTAGACCAACTTGCTAATTTCTTAAGTTGTTTTTTTCTCTCATACTTTATTGACATTTAAAATTTGTTTCCATTTTCCTTGATATACACATATAATGAACCCTGCTATGTAATTTTAATTTAGGCAAGTTTCTTGTAAATACCCTATTCGATGCTTTTAATCCAATTTAGAAGCCTTTGTCTTTCAATAGGAAGATGAAACCATTCAGATTTATGGAATTAAATGGTATTTTTGGTCTTGCTTTTGTCATCATTAGTTAGACTACCAGTTTCATAGTGCCCAAAGATGAAGACGCAGCATTGAATAAAACACATCTGCCACAGACAGGAGGGACTTATTTTGGCAGAAGAGACAGATACACTCCTTACTGTTCCCTTTTCCTCCTTATTTTCTATATGAACCAGATAGGTGAACCTCGTTTAGGTGTTCTATTAATTGGGAAGTTAACTATTATCCAATTTTATTCCATTAGAAATTTCATTTCATGTGCATATATAGTGCATTTACACAGCACATATATTTAAACCTATTTGCTCAATTTTAATGTCAAAATATATAGAGTTTACCCATCCCCTGTGTAATAGAAGTCTAGTTCATCTTGTCTGACTTTCTTCCATTTTCTGGTTTTATGGATACATTTTATGACTTTGGAGGTTGTTATTAAATTATTATTACATTGCAAAGTTTCACTTTTGAACACTTAGTTCTGTCATTGTATTTGGTTTCATAACTGTTAAAAATACTTCGCCATGATTTTTTGAAATTTATTTTTACAAATTTTCTACCTCACTGATAGTGCTTTTGTACTGTGTCATTTTCCCTTTAAAAAATTATCTCTGGATTGCCTGGATTTATGTTTTTTTTTCTTCCCAGAATATGTACTTAAATAGTGTAATTACTTTCCTTCAATATATATTTAGAGCCTCTGGATATGAATACTATCTTGGCTCATTAGGACATTATCTTCTGCAATTTAGTGATGCAAAGGATCACTGTTATCCATTATGCATGCATTTATTTTGCAGGTTTATAGTTTTTAATTTCCTTTCTGAATTCTTAAAGTTTAAAAACATGTTATTATTTTTATTTTTAAAATAAATTTATTGGGGTGATATTGGTTAATAAAATTATATCGGTTTCAAGTGTACAATTCTATAATGCATCATCTGTATATTGCACTGTGTGTTTGCCACCCAAAGTCAAATCTCTACTCCTGAAATAACAGACCTTTCCCTAGTGATGGCTAAGGTATGGCTTATTATTCTCCCTTTGGGAATTTTTGTTCCCTGTATTTTTAATCCTCATTCTGTCTGTTTTAAACATAGCTTCTCTTTTGTATTTTTCTTTATTCTTTTCCACTAAATTCTGGAAGAATTAGACTAATTTTTTCTCACTTTCTGCTTTAATTTTCTACATAATTCAGTGTGTTTATCACAGATTTTTTTTTTTTAGTTTGACAATTTTGCTTTTCATTCATGTGCAAACATTCCCAATTTCCAACTAGTTTTACAAAAGCAGTGTGCAACTGAATCTTGTTAAAAATTTAATCAGGCTATTTTCTGAAAGTTTTCCCTGACTCTTGGAAGTAACTGTAAGGGGAAATTCTTTCAGATTTTTCAGATTGGTCTCTTTTACACTATTTCCTGAGATTTATCATAAGCTCAGTGGTTTGCTGGTTCATACCATGGACAGTCCACTTCTATTTAGCAAAGCAACATGAAGAAGGTACAATCAGAAAATTTATTGACTGTACTTTAAAAAGCTCACAGAAGGAGAGAAGTGTTTAGATTTATTCTAATTTTAATTTGTCAGATTACAGGTACTGCGGTCTGTGAGGCCTAGGGTGGCAAATACATATGTCAACAACCACAAATGATTTTTCAGTGCTTACCCGGCTCGAGTGTAGCCCAGATTCCCTGATGGACTCCACTGCTCACACAGAGAACGTGATCAAGGGTCCACTGTATGCTGAGCAAGGGTAAGCACCAAGGGCAGGACCACTGACCAGTAGACACTTTATGACTGACATTTTCACAGGAGGCTCTGCTATAGGGTTGAACAGTGTTCCTCAAAAAGGTATGCTGAAGTCCCCATGAGTGTGACCTTATTTGGAAATAGGGTCTTTGCAGATGTATTTGAGTCAAGATGAGGTCAATTGGGCAGCCCTAATCCAATATGACTGACATCCTTAGAAAAAAGAGAGAACTTTGAACATAGATCCACACAGAAAGGAGACATGCTATGTAGAGACACAGATACAGAGGGAAGATAGCCGTGGGAAAACACAGGCAGAAATGGGAGTGGTGCTGCCACTGCCAAGGAAGGCCTGAGGCACCCAGAAGTGGGCAGAGGCAAGGCTTTGGAGGGAGCCTGTCCTGCCAACACCTTAACTTCCAGCCGCCAGAACTGTCTGAGAATAAGTCTCTGCTGTTCTAAGCCACCCAGTTTGTCGTACTTTCTTATGGCAGCCCCGGCAAACGAATGGTGCAATTACCTTTAAGATTTATTTTCGCACACAGCTGCTCAGGGGCCTTCCTTTTGTTCCAGCTGCGTTAGGGCTATTTATATGGTTTGACTAGGCCCTCCCCTCATTTTTTTCCGTTCTACCTGGAGAGAACCTCCCTTTTCTTATATGCACTACTGTGGTTTCCACGAAGATTACTGATTTCCCTCTGAATCTCATCAACACTTTGTTCATTTCGATCAGGAATTGAACACCTATATTCGGACTTCTAAAGATGAGATGGTCTCCTGGCCAGCGTAGCTCAGTGGTTGAGCATCCACCTATGAGCCAGGAGGTCACAATTAGATTCCCAGGTTGCAGGCTCAATCTCCAGCGTGAAGCATGCAGGAGGCAGCCAATCAATGACTCTCTCATCACAGATGTTTCTCTTTCTCTTTCCCTCTCCCTTCCTCTCTGAAATCAATAAAAATACATATTTTTCAAAAGCAGATGGTCATTCTCTAGTTCTCCTTTCCAATAGTGACTAGAAGGGAGTATTGCTATTCTGCAAATCTTGAATCAAGAGATGTTATTGTCAACTCACCCTGTATTACAAGAATAATTAATTCTGGATCCAAGGCTGATGTCTGTGTCTATGTGCACCATCCCATGCAGAGGCTCTGCAGGAGTTTTACATACTTTACCTGTGGAAAAGAAACAGAATTTCGGAGCCAGGTAGAGTAATCTGAACTTTTGTAGTACAGAAGGTCTCAATGTGACTGCAACTTACTAAAGAGTACATGAAATTCTGATGGTTCCACCGATTTTCGCCTCACCAGATGTCTCAAGTTCAGCCACGTTCTAAGCACCACTTTAAAAAAGACCTCCCACCTACATCTGTCTTATAGCTACCTCAAATTGCTCAACGAAATATAGAGGTTAATTATAGCCTCATATCCTACCAATATAATTCTTTCTTCCTACCTGGTTATTAAAACAGTGTATGTCTCCTCACAATTTTTTTCCTGGTCTGAAGTTGTTCATTACTTACTTTCCCATAAGGAATAGGTTTTTCCCCCCTGCAAATATTTATTAAAACAGTTTCATGAGCCCTGACTGGTTTGGCTCAGTGGATAGAGCATCGTCCTGCAGACTGAAGGGTTCCGGGTTCAATTCCGGCCAAGGGCATGTACCTTGGTTGCGGGCACATCCCCAGTAGGGGGTGTGCAGGAGGCAGCTGATCGATGTTTCTCTCTCATCGATGTTTCTAACTCTCTATCCCTCTCCCTTCCCCCCTGTAAAAAACCAATAAAATATATTTTGAAAAAAAAACCAGTTTCATGAAATAAACATTTCAACTAATAATTAGGGATGACCTACAACACCAACTCTTATATCCACCTACCTGGACACTTTTGAGAAGTAAAGTTTTCTTATCTCTAAAATTTGAAAAAGTAGAAGAAGAGCCTATGGATAATTCGATCGATATGGGAAGCTCCAATACAGGTTTTACTCACGTTTACAGACATTCGGGGCACCTGACCACTCCAAGTTGTGTAGACACCTGATAGAGAATGTCCTCCTGTAGTACTCAGGGCGGCATTCATACTTTAAAGATGTCCCAATAGGAAATGCAGATTCATTGGTTTGGGTTTTCAACTCAGCAAATTGAAAATGATCTGGAGCATTACAGTAACCTAAAAACCAAGATATCAAGAACATCAAGTTTTAACATAGAGATACCCAATGCCCTTTCTCTCTCTCTCTCTCTCTCTCTCTCTCTCTCTCTCTCTCTCTCTCTCTTAGATTTGATGCCAAAACAAAAGAAAGTTTTAGTTCTGGAAAGATAATTTCCTTGTAACCTTTGGAGGGAAAGTTCCATTAGCACCTGCCTACTAGAAAATATACTATCCACCTGGGAAAGTATTCTGCTATCTGGTTATTTTGCTCATATAATTTGCTGTCAAAGACAATTTCAATTCAATTTTTCACATTTTTTAGGGAGCCAAAAAAGGTTCTTCTGCTCAGGTTTTACCATTTCTTTCTGAATGCATGGGGTCTTGGGCCAAATAGGTAATTTCCTTGTACGCCAGTGAATCAAAACCCCAGTGGAGGTTTCACAAACATTACTGGAGAACTCAAGGTATTTCTTGAAACTAGGAAGGGGCCACGCCACCTATTTTGTAGGTCTGATTCCTAAGTCAACCATTTCAACACAAGGAGGAAATAAGTAGCATTTCCTTGAAATAAAACAAACAAAACTACACTTATTATTATAAGAAAACATTTGTTTGAAGTGTAAATTAAGTCAAATTCTAGCTTTAGCTCCATGCTCCTATGGCCTATTAGATTTAGGGTCAAATAATGTGAATCCAAAACAGTACAAAGCTTGGAAAAATAGAAAACATATGCACTTGGTTTGGGCCATACCTTCTATGTTAGCTTCTCTTGCAGCTGCCCTCTGCCTCCTTTCAGGTTATTTTTTCAAATAGTTATGGCTATTCGACAGCCAGTTCTGCACCCAGAGCATTTTCTGTTGGAGGATTTGCAAACCAACTTCTCATCTCTTGAAAGTAATTCACTGATTTTTCTCAATTTAAAAATGTGGCTTATTTGAAACGTTGTTATAGGAAATTTATTCATCTATATTACCTGTTTAGTTTTATCTCAGAGCTTAAATATTAGCTCTACTGGCTTCTAGTTCAAAGAGTGCCCATCGGGACTGAAATTTATCACTAAGGCCAACTCACACACGAAGGTAGCCTGGTAGGTCTCCAGTCTAAAAATCTAGCTGATAAGACTAGAGTTGCCATCTTAGATAGGTTTCTAATGAAAAAAAAAATCATAAAACTTAAGAGAAGATTGTCTGTCGCTATCGATTCAGTAAATATGGACCAGGTCTCTACCCTGGTAAACAAGCTTATAAGTGCCTCCCAAATTGAAGCTATGGTGAGGGAAGAGGAGAGTAGGGTCAAAATGACTTCTGAGTGACTAGCACATGGCCCTTTTCCTTTTAGAATTGTTCTTTTCTCTCAGAGTTCCCAGTGGTCAGTACATAATGTCCCTTCTACAATTTATTTTTTCCTTCCCGAATTCACTCCCTCAAGGTTGATGTCTTGGTGGGGGAGGTGGGGGAGGGTTGGGTGTCTTAGGAAAACTTATCCAGAAATTAACACTCTATTTTTTGCATTTTCCTTTGCGTTTTCTTTGCACCAAAGTGAGAAGGTTTCAACAACTAAAATAACTGGGGGCAAAGGAGCAAATAAGCCTTATTTTAATGTAGAGCTTAGCCCAAATTGGCTACAGCAATCTATGTAGTTTGCCTACAATACAGCTCCATTTTCACAGAGAATGCACATGGGTCTTGGGCCAAATGGGTAATAAAAAGTGATTTTGCCTGGCCTTATTCTCTACTGACCTGTGCTCCCCTCCAAAAACTATAGATGGCATAACTTATGCTAGTTAAGGTCCATAGGTATTTGCTTTCAATTTTTATGCTTTGAAAACATTTTTCTTCCAATGCTAGCTATAATTAGAACTACCGCCCACCATCTTCTCTTTTCACCAACTCTCTAGCAACAAACGTCATCAGACTCCTATGTGTTAACATATCGTAAAATCATTTATAACCGCTTTTGCATTTAATTGTGTCAAGTGCACAAATTAGCACGATGCTGTAATTGGAAGATTTTGGAAGATCTGTTTTAGATATTTCTGGAGCCATCTGGGATGGGGCATAGTATGCACTGACCCGGATGTCCACAGCGAGGGGCAGGGCCGCTCCAGATCCCGTTCCCTCGACTGTCATTTGTGCAGCGGATGGTGCTCTCCCCAATGAGACTGAAGTTCATCCCTCTGTCTGGTTGGGGATCACATGTGTAAGTTACTTCTTTTCCAAAAGAAAAGATTTCCAGAGGTTTTCCTGTGTGTCTTCCATTATGAATATCTGGAGGATTTGGACATAAGATTTCTGGAAAGAACGCAAGAGCTGTTAGTTTCATTGAGGAGCTTCCACTGGAGGTATTCTACAGGCATAGGATGCTGTGGTTGGTGCTGCCTAGAAAACACCCATGACTGTATCTTTGCTGTAGGCCTTTGATGAGATGGGCTAAATGAAATAAGATCTCAATCTCATTTTTCATGGAAGAAGTACAGAAGAAGTCTGCTTATCTTGAATCTTCCTGCTAGTTAAGTCTTCTGGATAAAGCAAACTTAACACCCTAGAATTAAGTACCAAATCTTTTAAAGAAGAATAATAACCCTTTAGAGGATAATTCACTCAACAACTTAATAAATATTACTTGAGCACATACTCTGTGTCAGTCACTCATTGGAGCCCTGGAATATGCTGATAAAGAGCTCAGATAAAGTCACTGGCCTCCAAGGAAGAAATTTTCAAGAAATGTTTTTACAAAGTACTCCACGTGTGCTAATCACCGTAAAGATGTGAAGCTTTTCCTTGATAACTTATCGGTACTGGCCATCGATCTTGATTATGACTGTGCTGCCACAATGAATTGAAGCCTCCGCGGTCACTGTAAAAATTCTAAGCAACTCGGATTGCTTTGTTTTTAAAATGTATGGATCTGTCTATGATAGAATTTTCTTCTGTACTTTCTGTCAGGCTTCCACTTGTTACCTCTTTCTAGGATCTGCTTGTCCGTATAAAACAGACCCCTCCTCACTTCTAGTTGGCGTTTCTAACTAGGCTTGGTGTTTTGAGGAAGCTACTTCAATAGTAAAAGTCATGAAAATAAGATGTCCAATCAATAACTGAGCTCTCATGCACGCCAGTAGGACAGCCACTTACCATTCTCATCAAGAAACATTGGATAGTAGATAACAGTATGTAAGCTAGTTTCTCATAAGTTTTACTATAAAAAGCACATTTTGATGTCTGAGTAGATTTCTCGTAACATAAACATTGTAGTAAAATGTGATTTTATATATATATATTAAAATCTTTAATATGTATATTAAAATCATACATATATATATATATATGGTCAAGAGATGAAGCAAAATCTTGTCTTTATTGAGCAAAATATAATTGGATAGAACAGGAGAACTTGGTATTGACCCTACACATAGGAGAGTCTTTTTATTTTTAAATCCTCACCTGAGGAAATGTTTTCATTGATTTGAGAGAGAGAGAAAGAGAGAGAAAGATTAAAAGAGAGAGCGAGAAAGAGAGAAACATCAATGTGTGAGAGAAACATCAATTGATTGCCTCCTATACACACCCTGACCGGAGTGGAACCTGAAACCTAGATATATGACTTGACTGGGAATCCAACCTGCAACGTTTTGGTGTACAGGACAAAGCTCCAACCAACTGAGCCACCCAGCTGTGGCAGGAGACTCATGTTTTAATCAGCTCATTACTTCTGAATCTTTCAACATAATTTATTTAAGTATGTGTTTGGAGAGTTTAAGGCGTCTTAAACTGCTTACCCCATGTTATGCTGCTCCCAACTTTCCCCTCATTCTTTCACTGCTCTGATCTGTCACTTCCATAACATTTATTTGTTTATTGTTTTTCCTGACCATCTCCTCACTGGGGTCTAAATAACACGGGGACAGGGCATTCACTTATCTTGTTCACTGCTATAATCCCGTGCTTAGGAAAATACCAAGCACATAGTATGTCCTCAATAAATAGTTGTTCGAATGAATGCGTGTTTCATATTTACATATTAGCCAGTAGATAGAAAAAATGTAGAGTGGTTACAGCCTGATATTAGAAAAAGAAAAGAAAAGAAAGAATTAGGAAAGGAAGGAAAGAAGAAAGGAAGAAAACTGTCAAAGCTTCACGTTATTTAATCTCTCCTGATCTAGAGGCCAACTGCTGCAGGACGAAGAATTCAAAATAACAGAGACAGACAAAACGGTTCCCAAAACACATGATGTACAATAACGTGCATCACAACAAATTGATCACAAATAAATACTATTTAAAAAAGCAATTATCTCTCAATAATTCAGATTAGAAAATAGAAGAACCCTATTGGGGTTGCCATAAGTCAAAATTCTAAATAGGTTAAGGGAGGAATTGTCCTAAAGTGTTATTCCTTGTACTCACGTTCACACACAGGGACACTGCTATTCCAGAGGCTCTCCATTCCAACCAAGACACAATGGCTGGCAGAGCTGCCTTGTAGATGGAATCTAAAGAAGAAAATGGTAGTGCACAGGTGAGCTGCTTCAGTTTGCAAAACTCTGAGGTCCGGCTGAAAACCTTAGCATCCGAAACCAACAGGTGGCAAAAGTTTGGAGGCCATATTGATCTAGACCAGTGTTCTCAACCTGTGGATCATGACCCCGTTGGGGGTCGATCGACCCTTTCACAGGGGTCGCCCAAGACCATCGGAAAACACACAATATATGTAAATATATTACATATTGTTTTTGTGATTAATCACTATGCTTTAATTATGTTCAATTTGTAACAATGAAAATACATCCTGCATATCAGATATTTACATTATGATTCATACCAGTAGCAAAATTACAGTTATGAAGTAGCAACGAAAATAATTTCATGGTTGGGTTTCACCACAACATGAGGAACTGTATTAAAGGGTCACGGCACTAGGAAGGTTGAGAACCACTGCTCTAGACAAATCACAGCCTCCAGTTAGGGAGGACAGTTAGTTGGTCACATAACACATAGTTCCAGGCTGAATTGAAGAAGGCAGTCAGAGCATAGCAGCCATCTCCTTGATCCTGGACCCAGGTTCTGAGAAGTGAATCTCTAGCTGATCATCTCATGATAAACCTGATAAATGTACTCCTCATATGGGAAACCTAGTCTTCTAATGCAACAGACTCCTAATTCTCCTAATTCTGATACTGGAACAGTGAGTAAAACAGTTCCCAGGTTGGATGGAAAAAGCAGAGAGTCACTGGAGAGAGCACAAAGATTGTCCTTTTGTCTCTATGGCTGTGATGGCTGTGAAGAAGGCACGTTGGGCTATTGAGTAAGTTTGAGTACTCTAGGGGAAGACAATGGAGATCAGAAATGACTTGTGTATGCGATCATCCAGAATGGTCAATGTATGTGGGACCCCGATGGCTCCTAAATCTTATTGGGTGCTGTCACTGGGTGCCTGCCAGGACTCTTTGAAACAGTCTAAGGCAGTGGTTCTCAATCTTCCTGATGCCGCGACCCTTTAATACAGTTCCTCATGTTGTGGTGACCCCCATTTCATTGTTACAAATTGAATATAATTAAAGCATAGTGATTCATCACAAAAACAATATGTAATTATATATGTGTTTTCCGATGGTCTTAGGTGACCCCTGTGAAAGGGTCAATCGACCCCCAAAGGGGTCCCGACCCACAGGTTGAGAACCGCTGGTCTAAGGTCAGGTGCTTCTTTGCTCACACTTGATCCTTCCCATGCAGAGATGAGCACACTGGGAAGAGCACCAGCCTCACATGAACAATGTCGTTACCTAAAACATTCACCAGCCACCGTGATCCCATTTGAGCCCTAAGCACATGACTGACCAGAAGATATGTGATTAGATTAAAATACCCATTATTATGCTTTTACTCTCATGACAAATTTTCCTTTTGATGGTTAAAAAATGACTTAAATCATTCTAAATCATCTTAATTCTTTTTAATAAGCTTTTTGTTACATATCAAACTTTTCTTGGGACTCTCCAAATTCTTCTTCTTTTTGTCTGCTTGGAAAGTATTATTTTTTTCAATCAATGCATCACATGTATATTCATAACCAGTCATTGTATTTGTCTGTATACCAGCCATTTCATATATGTCCCAATTTTTCCTTCATACACCTCATACAATTTTTTCCACCTGTTCCTTACTCTTACTTTTCTTACACACATCCAAGATGTAATCCCCTGAATTCACTTTTTTTAGCCACACCAAACCTTCCCTTTCTGTTAACTTCTAACTCTGATTTTAGTGCCCAGGGGGGCCTGGCAAGCTCACACTCACCCCTCATCACAAACGAAGGACACTTTTGCTCCAAGCTGGAAGTTAAGTGGAGAGAGCACACGGCCATTAGGAAGTCGGTCCCGGAAGGCAGCACATGATTTCACTACAGAAAAATAAATGAGGAGTCAGACCGCCATGTGAGGTGCAAAGACATTCATCTGCAGAAAGGGTGAGAGTGAGTGTAGGCACCTGCGCATGTGGGGGCGGCCGGGCTCCAGTCCCCCTGGGCTGTACAGCGCAGAGAGGCGGCCCCTCTGAGGTCATAGCCGGGCTCACAGCTGTAGCGCACCTCCTGCCCAGGGGAAAAGCTGTCCTTGTCGCTGGGGCTGTGCTGGCCATGCAGGATTTCCGGAGGCCGCTGACAAACTGGGGGAAGAACAGGCACAGCGTTCCTGTCAGTTACGGGGAATATTCTTTGCTAAATCTTAACTCATCCAAGGAAACTCATAGGTAGAGGGGTTCCGGTCTAACAAAGGGTCTCACACGCCTGCATTCTATTCCTGGCATGTGATTTGGACGATTTCTTTAACCTCTGAAAGACCAAGCTAACTGCACTGTCAGATGGATAAGAGAATAGCACTACAGTGGGGCCTTGACTTAAGAGTGTCCCAACTAACGAGTTTTTCAAGATACGAGCCGTCTCTCGGCCGATTTTTTGCTTTGAGTTGCGAGCTAAAATTCGGGTTATGAGCCAGCTTCAGATACCCCACCGCTAGTTGGCGCAGCGAACGTCACAGTGAACGCCACAACATCAGCCCAGCATCACGTGTCTCACTTGTTCACTTTTGATTTGACATATGAGTAATTTGAGTTACGAGCTCTGTCACGGAAAGAATTAAACTCGTAAGTCAAGGCCCCACTGTATTTCTAAGGAGGATTGTACAGAGTCGATGAGATAAAGCACAGAGAGTGCTCATTACACAGCTGACCAGAAGGGTCACATCCTTTTTCAGTCTGAGAGCTGGTGCTTTGCCCTGAGAATTTCTCAGTAGGAGCATCCCCAACGTCCCCGTCCCTGATGGATTAGGCTCTTGCTCTCCAGGATGAAGGCACACTCACTGCAGTGAGGGCACCCACACACCTTCTTCCTTTCATGCTTCATGCTTCACCCCTAGAAAATTTACTCACACTGCTCAGCACACACCTCCCTCCCAGAACAAACACTAATCCGGGGGCCCTCCCACAGCTCCTGTCACCTGCAGGCCCCCTCGAAGCCTCAGTCAGACTCACCCCTGGAGCAGCTGGGCAGCTCGGGCTCCCATCTGTTTTGGGCCTGGCAGCGCACACTGGAGGGGCCTTTCATGACAAAGCCAGGCTGACACCTAAAGCTCACGATGTCATTTAAGGAGAACAAGCTTCTGTTCTCAGACTCCCTTACTCCATTTTCAACGTGCGGAGGCGTGCACTTGTTAGGTACGATGCACTGAGGGGCAGGGCCGCTCCACAGGCCCACTTGATCTTTGCTGGTGCAATATATTGACTTCTCGCCCACGAGTTCAAACTTTTCCCTTCCTTTTCTGTCATTGCAGCGGTAGGTCACCACTATTCCGTATGGAAAAAAGTCTCCGCTGTTGTCAACAAAATATCCGTTGGCGATGGTTGGTGGTGACTTACATTGAATAACTGGGAAAAGGAAAAGCCATTTAAATGATAGTGAATTGAAATAACTACTGATAGCAATCCAATGTCACTAAACTGCTACTATTTTTACACTCATTATTTGCTTTTAATCTTTGCTAACATGTAGATTAGGTTTTCCGAAGTTGCAGTTTAGGTGGGCATAATAAAAAGTATTATTCTGCTTTTCCTACTTAGATTATTTCCTATGAACATATCCATATAGTAATACAATTCACATTTTTTTCATTACAAATAACTCTTTGATTATATTATATCATAGTTTACATAGTTTCCCCCTACTCTTTTCCAACTGCCTTCTTAATTTTTATTTTTGTTATAAATGAGACTAGTATAGCTTTTAAAAAAATAAAATCAAAATACCCTTAATAATAACAAAAATTATAAGGAGAAAAGGCTAAAGGAGTTAGTCACCACCAAACCAGTATTACATGAAATGTTGAAGGGTATTCTTAAAGAAGAAGAAGAAGAGGGAAAAGAAAAAAGATAAAACATATGAACAATAAAATGGCAACAAATACATATCTATCAACAGTTTAATCTAAAAATCAAAATAAATGAACAAACTAAAAAAGCAATCCCATTTGCCATCGCACCAAAAAATTAAGATACCTAGGAATAAACTTAACTAGGATTTAAAAGACCTGTACTCAGAAAACTACAGGACTCTGAAAAAAGAGTTAGAGGAAGACATAAATAGATGGAAGAACATACTGTGTTCATTGGTAGAATCAACATCATTAAAATGTCCATACTACCCAAAGCAATCTACACATTCAATGCACTCCCCATTAAAATACCAACGGCATATTTCACAAATCTAGAACCAACTCTCCAAAAACTCATCTGGAATAAAAAAAGACCCTGAATAGCTACAGCAATCCTGAGGAAGGAGAACAAAGTTGGAGGGATATCAATACCAGATATCAAGCTGTATTACAAAGCCACTGATCTCAAAACTGCCTGGTACTGGCACAAGAGCAGACATATAGACCAATGGAATAGAATAGAGAGCCAAGAAATCAACCCAAACCACTATGCCCAATTAATATTTGACAAAAGAGGCAAGAACATACAATGGAGTCAGGACAGTTTCTTCAATAAATAGTGTTGGGAAAATTGGACAGATACACACAAAAAGAAAATGAAACTAGACCACCAACTTACACCATACACAAAAATAAACTCAAAATAGATAAAGGACTTAAATGTAAGACAGGAAACCATAAAAATACTAGGAATCCACAGGCAGCAAAATAGCAGACATATGCCAAAGCAATTTCTTTGCCGATACCACTCCCAGGGCAATGGAAACCAAAGAGAAAATAAACAAATGGGACTACATCAAAATAAAAAGCTTTTGCACAGCAAAGGAAACCATCAACAAAACAACAAGAAAGCCCACTACATGGGAGAACATATTTGCCAATGTTATCTCTGATAAGGGTTTAATATCCAACATTTACAGGGAACTCATACAACTTAACAAAAGGAAGATAAACAACCCAATCAAAAAATGGGCAATGAACCTAAATAGATACTTTTCAAAAGAAGACATAAAAAAGATAAAGAGACATATGAAAACATGCTCAAAGTCACTAATCATCTGAGAGATGCAAATCAAAACAACAATGTGGTATCATCTCACACCTGTCAGAATGGCTATCATCAACAAATCAACAAACGACAAGTGCTGGAGAGGATGTGGAGAAAAAGGAACCCTCGTGCACTGCTGGTGGGAATGCAGACTGGTGCAGCCACTGTGGAGAATAGCATGGAGTTTCCTTACAAACTAAAAATGGAACTCCCATTTGACCCAGTGATCCCACTTCTAGGAATATATCCCAAGAAACTAGAAACACTGATCAGAAAGGAGATATACACCCCTATGTTCATAGCGGCACAATTTACCATAGCTAAGATTTTTAAACAGCCTAAGTGCCCATCAGCAGGTAAGTGGATTAAAAAACGGTGGTACATCTACACAATAGAATACTACGTTGTGGTAAAAAAGAAGGAATTCTTACCATTCACAACTGCATGGATGGAACTGGAGAGCATTATGCTAAGTGAAATAAGCCAGTCAGAGAAAGATAAATATCACATGATCTCACTCATTTGTGGAATATAATGAACAACATAAACTGATTAACAAAAACAGATCCAGAGACAGAAAAGCATCAATCAGACCGTCAAACTCAGAGGGAAGGTAGGGGAGGGCGGGGGGAAGGGGGAGAGATCAACCAAAGGACTTGTATGTGTGCATATAAGCCTAACCCAGGGGTGGGCAAACTTTTTGACTCGAGGGCCACAATGGGTTCTTAAACTGGACCGGAGGGCCGGAACAAAAGCATGGATGGAGTGTTTGTGTGAACTAATATAAATTCAAACTAAACATCATTACATAAAAGGGTATGGTCTTTTTTTTCAATAGTTTTATTCATTTCAAACGGGCCGAATCCGGCCCACGGGCCGTAGTTTGCCCATGGCTGCCCTAACCAATGGACACAGACACCAGGGGGGTGAGGGCATGAGTGGAGGGGTGGGGGGCTTTGGGGGGATAAGGACACATATGTAATACCCTAATCAATAAAGAAAAAAATTTAAAAATAAACGAACAAGAAATCTAATGAACAAAATAAACTGATGAATAAAATAGAATCAGAGGCATGAGAACATAGAACAGACTGAGGAATCTCAGAGGAAAGGGGGGTGAAGGGGTGGGAAGAGGTTAACCAAAGATCTTATATGCATATATGCATTACCTATGGACACAGACAATAGGGTGGTGAAGGGCTGAGATGGGGTGGGGCAGGAAATGGGTGAAAGGGGGCAAAGGGAGAGGAAAGGGGACATCTATAATACTCTCAATAATAAAGTTTAAAAAATCAATTAAAAAATGTGTAAGGAGAGACAACACAGATATACAGCAGTAAGAAATAGAATTTGAATATATTTCCATAGACATGAGAATATTTATGAAACTGTAGACAACCGTATGTTAAACATTTTGAAAACCTAAATGATATAAATGAAGACACAAATTACCAATAATAATTTAAGAAGACAGAGAAAGCTACAAAGGGGGATAGAGGTGGGCCAGGAGGGAGGCGGGGGAAGGGGGAGAGAGGAAAATAAAAGTTTTATTTATCTAGTGCAGTGGTTCTCAACTTTCTGGCCTTTTAAATACAGTTCCTCATGTTGTGACCTAACCATAAAATTATTTTCATTGCTACTTCATAGCTGTAATGTTGCTACTGTAAATATGAATAAAATAGAATCAAATCGTAATGTAAATATCTGATATGCAGGATGGTCTTAGGCGACCCCTGTAAAAGGGTCATTCGACTGCCAAGGGGTCGCGACCCACAGGTTGAGAACCGCTGATCTAGTGGTTTTGTACAGTGTTACCCAGGCTAATTGGAACCAGGTTTCCCAGACTGACTTTGCCTGTATGGCTCTAGGTTAGGGTTGGAGCTTGAGAAATTGGCCTGAAATTTGAGAGGCAGAAGTGAAGCAACAGCCATTCTCCTCTGAAGGTCATTCTTGGTTGGAGGGACGAGGGGACAAATGCAGAGGACCCAGGGGTCCCCGTTTGTTCTCGCTCTCCCTATGTTTGCATCCAGCTCTCTGAAAACGCTGGTCCTGCTCACCTGCACTGACTCCTCCTCACGGTCACATGCGTCCCTGTTAACTGACAGCAGCAGCAGCTGGGAAGAGCCAAGCAGACAGCTCTCTGCACGAGCCCTTCCCAGCTCCCCGCCAGCAGCGAGGCTTGCTTAGCTTCCTGAAAGCTCCCACGCCCAGGCACCTGATGAGTGTGGTGTTTCTCATCGTTTAGAGCAGTGGTTCTCAACCTTGGCTGCACATTAGAATCACCTGGGAATCTTTTTAAAATCCTGATTTCTGGGCCTCATCCTCCGGAAATTCTGTTTCTTTGTTACTAATGTTGTGGCCCCACCCCATAACAAAGAAACAGAATTTCTGGAGGACGAGGCCCAGAAATCAGGATTTAAAAAAGATTCCCAGGTGATTCTAATGTGCAGCCAAGGTTGAGAACCACTGGTTTAGAGCAGCTCCTCACACAGCTAGGTCTAATTTCATAACAAATCTCTTGTTTCGTAACACTGATAGTAGTTCTGCTTCCATATTTGGACCAATATTTACCCCAGGGTAACAGAGGAATCTGGGATTGGTTCTTTAATATGATTATATTTAAGAATTCATATTGCCCGGGTGGTGTAGCTCAGTGTTGAACATTGACCTATGAACCAGTAGGTCACGGTTCGATTCCAGATCAGGGCAGGCAGGGGTGGTGAGGGGTGATCAGGCCGGGGCACCTGCCTGGATTGCAGGCTCATCCCCAGTAGGGGGTGTACAGGAGGCAGCCGATCAATGATTCTCTCTCATCACTGATGTTTCTGTCTCTCCCTCTCCCTTCCTTTCTGAAATCAATAAAAATATATTTTAAAAAAGAATTCATGTTAATGCTGATCGTGGAAAGGGGCGCACAAATACAGTGGGGCCTTGACTTACGAGTTTAATTCGTTCCGAGACCGAGCTCGTTAAGGAGCTCGTTAACTCAAATTATGCTATCAACTCAATGCAAAAAATCGGCGGAGAGATAGGTGGTATCTCAAAAAACTCGTTAGTCGGGACACTCGTAAATCAAGGCCCCACTGTAGTTGATGGAGTGCAGGGACAGAAGATCCCCTAGTTACCACCGGTAGCCATCTCTAAGCATAGGATAGGAGCAAGGCTTTGAGTGACTAAGGGGTGGCTGTCCTAGGAGAGTCTAGGGAAGGCATAGAATGGGCTTGGTGGCTTGTTCTAGAGAACCTGAGAGAATGAAAGTGATGGGTGCAAAGCTTGAAATTCCTGCTCAAGGTCTGGCTCTGAAAGCTTCTGTATCTGCCCTAAAAGAACACCTGTGCCCTGTAACCACAGGGCCAAGGTTTCTGAAAAAACTAATCCAGCATCTAATCCTGTGGCTGATTCTCACCACGTCTCAGGGTCTGTATGCTAAAGTCGGAGCACTGCTTGGAAGAGGATTCTGACACCTGAAGTGGACAGATTCTAATGAAGCTGAGTGCCTGGAACCTGGGAATTCTGCTGGGTAGTCCTTTGCTAGGAGACGTAGCTCCTCCTCCCCTGTCTGAGGAGGCAGGTCTCCTCTTGCCTGAAGGAACTCTAATGGCCCCTCCTGACATAGCTGCCCTGATACGGCTGCCAGAGGAAGTATTGGTAGTCCCGTTAAATTTGAATTTCAGAAAAAAGTAAACATTTCTAAGTATAATTATATCTTAGAATTGCATGGCATATATATTTTTTTAATTTTTTAAAAAATATCTTTTTATTTATTTCAGAGAGGTAGGGAGGAGAGAGAGAGAGACATCAACGATGAGAGAGAATCATTGATGGGCTGCCTCCTGCACACCCCCCACTGGGGATTGAGCCCACAACCCAGGCATGTGCCCTGCTAGGGAATCGAACCCTGACCTCCTGGTTCATAGATCGACGCTCAACCACTGAGCCACGCTGGCCGGGCTGCATGACATATATTTAAAGTGCAAAAATACTTGTTGCTTATCTGAAATTCAAATTTAACTGGGTATAATATTTTACTCACTAAATCTGGCAACGGAAATGGTAACAATTTATGTTCTTGCTCAGGACCTACCCCTACCACCTCACATGGTTTCTAGTGCTCTCACCAGATTCAATTCCTGGCAGGAATGGGGGTGGAGTGCACGGGATGGGGTGGGGGGGCGGTGGCGGGGAGAGATAAAAATTGTAACTCATGAGAGATGCAAATGCACCGAAAGAAGTGAGGTTCTGACTTCAGTGTGATAGTTTGAGTGTGGAGCGTGCCCAGTGAAGGTGAAAGACCAGAGCTTTACTAACATACCTCAGAGGCAGACATCTATTCACATAGGAGAGGGGCATGAAAACGATATAAATGAACTAAAGACAAACAAAGTGAAGCCGGGGGCCTGCTCCGTGCTGCCTGACACGGAGATGCAAGCAGACCATGAGAAACCCCCAGAACCAAGGACACTCCTGCAAAGACTGATGACTAGCTACTCAGTCGCATCTTATCACTTACCTACTAGTATACCATAAAAGGGAAACAGACCACAAAATATACCTTATAAAGGTGAACATTCAGCCCGACTTTTCCCCCCTCTTTTTCCCCATCCCAGGAATTTTCCATAGAAACTACAAACAGGTATAGGCTCAACGTGCAGAGATGGCCGGGGCCTCTCTCCCTTCTCTCCTGAGGGGCGTCCACCCCTCTGTCTGTGGAGTGGCTTTTCCTGTGTGTCCTGTCTGCTCAATAAAACCCACTTCTCTGCTTTAACCTCTTCTGTCTGGGTCAGGTTTTGAATTCCTTCCTGCATGAAGCCAAGAACCCACCTGGCATCACCATGGCCCGGGGCTCTGAGAATACTGGAGGCCATTCATTTTGTAAGACCCATGAGTAGGCTCCTTAACTAAGTCCATCGGTGGGGGGTTGGAGGATGAGTGAAAGAGGGATCTTTCATCCAAGGCTTTGAGAAATAAATTCATGTAGGAGTTCCAGCATCTTTGAAGAACTCTGTGATGTAGGCCCTCTCTGTAGGCCAGGAATGACAGTGGGAATAGTTGCTATTGAACCAGGTTCCCTGAAATCAAGGGGGATGACAGGACCTCAGAATGGCAGAGGCCGAGTGGCAGCCCTTAACTGCCAGAGGCAATTGAAACAAATCAGAATGATTTATCTGCAGAGACCTTTGTCATCAGTTAATTGATCATGGAGTCTCAAGAGATGAAGTAGATGAAGAGTGAGCTAAGGTTTGTATAGCAGAAAAGATCTAGGTCTGGTGACCAGAAACCTAACTTGAAACACTATAAAACAGAGTGTGGTTCTTCGTCAGCCAATTCCCAGACTTGAGAACTAGTTTACAGACACAGAGGAGCCTGAAGAAATGGGAGTTTGAATCTTCTTGAGGAAGCAGCCTGCTACACACCCAAAAGGTAAAGGACACCCCCCCCGCCCCCGTTCAGCCCCACAGCCTTCACCAAAGAGGCTTAAAGCTAGTTACCAGGGTTTGAATATAAAAATGGTTACAGAATTAGAGATAGAGATGAAAATATAGAAATAGCCATAGATATATGATCTTTTAATAAAATGAGCTATTGTCATACAGTTTTGTCAATCTGATTTTTTTTCCACATCAAATAGATATAATAAACATCTTTATATGTCATTAAGTGCTTCTCCAGATGTTTTACTTTTGTGGCTGAATAAAATTCCAGTGTACAGATATATTTCTTCTAATGCTGCATGGCTATTATATGTTCCTTAGGAAATCCTATGTAGTCATTTTTATCACGTTTCCTTCCTTCTGGCAGATTCTTTCTAAACCATATTTTGAAACAAGTAGTACATTTAGGTGACGGAACCATTTCACTATTATAAAGAATGCAGCAATGATGCGTTTACAGTGAACTCCTTGCAGAAAGCTGTGCTTATTTCCTAAGTGTGAATTCTAAGAAGTAGGTCTTGTATGTACCCACTTTTGAGGCGTATAGTACAGGGTGCCTTTCAAGAGGGTTTGTTGAACCCTCGTACATGAGGGTGTTGATTCTTCCACAGCTTCATAAACCTTGGAGAGCATCGCTTTATCATTCTATATTTATTTGCCAAGCAGAATGGTTATTATACTGGGGATGGTAGAACCAACATAATTCCAAATTAACTGAAGTAGAAATACATTTTAGAGGCTTTTATGCATTTAAGTCCCCGGATTTACAAAAGGCACATCCCGAGATCAGGAAGAACTTAAACAGTTGCCAGGAAACCCACAAGTACTTTGAGGACAGTAGCGCTGTCTTCAACTATCTGAAGGACAGAATGCCTTAAAGGAATTCAATTCAAATTTTTATAAATTCAGGTGGAAACTTAGACTCTACTGGTAAAGGTAATAGAAAAGATTTCAACTCACTCTGACAAACAGGTACTTCATTTTCCCAGGCGACAGTATTGCCTACGATGGCGCAATAATTAGACGCTTCACCAATGAGTTGGTATCTAGAGGCAAAGAATAATGCATGTTACATTCTAATGTCCCTGCTTAGATTGTTACTTACAAGAGACCACCATCTTGAAGAATTCAGAACAACAATTTCCTTTTGTCATACTACCAATTTCTCCAATTTTATGTCTGTATTGGGACTTTTAAATTTTCTCCTTTATACTTTCTAAACTGGATGGAATCTCTCTTCTTTATCAACTTCAGATACATTTTTATGTAAATCTAAGGTAAATAAGATTCATCAAAGTGGAACCAAAGGAAATCCAAGCAGAACAAAGAGAGTTGAACACTAATCTCATATTTTAAATATTAAAGGCAGAAATTCTCAATTAGTATGCCCCAAACTGTTTAAAGTGTGACATAAAATTTGGAAAATTTAGTGACATTTGTATTTACTTCAACAGAGGCTTTGTATAGTGATGGAATGCTGAGGTGAGCCATTCACGAGAGTTGGTATAGCTAGGGTGAAACTTGATACTATTACAAATTGAGACAAATAATACCAAATAATTGTCAAGTGTTATTTGGTATAGTTAGAACAATGCTATCTATATATATAAAAACCTAAGCGACGGGTCGACCATTCAACCAGTAGCTATGACGCACACTGACCACCAGGGGGCAGATGTTCAATGCACAGGCATGGAAACATGACTCTCAGAGGGAAGGGGCAAGAGGGGAGGGTGGGGCCGAAACCGGTTTGGCTCAGTGGATAGAGCGTCGGCCTGCGGACTGAAAGGTCCCAGGTTCGATTCCGGTCAAGGGCATGTACCTGGGTTGCAGGCACAATCCCCAGTGGGAGATGTGCAGGAGGCAGCTGATTGATGTTTCTCTCTCATCAATGTTTCTAACTCTCTATCTCTCTCCCTTCCTCTCTGCAAAAAATCAATAGAATATATTAAAAAAAAAAAAAGAGGGGAGGGTGGGAAGAGATTAACCAAAAATCTTATATGCATACTAGAGGCCCGGTGCATGGATTCATGCACTGGTGGGGTCCCTCGACCTGGCCTGCAGGGATTGGGCCAAAACTGGCTCTCTAACATCTCCCAAGGGGCCCCAGATTGCAAGATGGAGCAGGCAAGGCTGAGAGACCCCCACCGGTGCCTGTCCGGGCCTCTAGTGTGTGTGTGTGTGTGTATATATATGTGTGTGTCTGCTGCTATATGTGTAGATAGATAGATAGATAGATAGGTAGATATAGCAGTACACGCTTTATTCAAACAGCAAAATAAGCCAATCAGAGATCAGCGTAAAGTGTGACAGCAATGGATGTCATGTAGTTGTTGGGTAGATTCTGTCCTCCTTTTGTTTTAGTTCCAATGAAAGCTCAGTCTTCTGAGCCTTGTAATGCCATCTGTTCTGCTTCCTTCTTCTGGCTCTGCTAAGTTCTGGATGTGTCCCTGCTGCCGGTGGGAGTGAAGGTGCTTTGCTGGCCTGCCTGATGTCACTAGATGGGGAATGGGGGATGTCCAACCCTCGCGATGGAGAATAAACTCTCTGTCCTGTTCTCTGGCTTTCTGGTGAGGATGAGCTTCTCACTCCTGGTGCCAACAGGAGAAGGAGCCATTTATCTAGACCAGTGATGGCGAACCTTTTGAGCTCAGCATGTCAGCATTTTGAAAAACCCTAACTTAACTCTGGTGCCGTGTCACATATAGGAAATTTTTTGATATTTGCAACCATAGTAAAACAAAGACTTATATTTTTGATATTTATTTTATATATTTAAATGCCATTTAACAAAGAAAAAATCAACCAAAAAGATGAGTTCGTGTGTCACCTCTGACACGCCTGTCATAGGTTCGCCATCACTGATCTAGACTGTCTTTCAAGAGGACCAGGAGACATGGGCAAGGGAGGTTTCTCTGAGAAACCACCCAGAATAATCTGCTATGGACACAGCTGTTAGTGGAGTAGGCGTGGAGTGGACCTGCCCTTTTATATGTCTCTCCCCAAATCCACTTGCTCAAAGCATTTTATTTGGGGGCAGTTCTAGGGAGCTGTTGCCCTGGGGAGTGGGTGCCATTTGGCATTTTATTCTCTTCCTCACTTGTCTTTCTATTTCTGCTTCTCTGCAGTAACAAGCAATTTCTTCCCTTTGCCTTGCACATGACAGCCCCTTAGGAGTTTTAGGGGTTTCACCTTCCTAAGCCACAATGTCTATCCTAGAAAGAATTCTAGTTAAAACGTTTTTCTATCTGGTAGTGTATGTATGTGTTTATGTATGTATGTCTCTTTGTTTTATATATGTGACTAATAATAATTTCAGTTGGAAATAATATTTAAAAATTTTTAACACACCGGGGTAACAGCGATTAAAAATACATGTGCCCCTGGGGTGGGGTGGGCTGGAGGAGGACAATGGGGGGAGGGGGGAAGGGGACATATGTAATACTTTCAACAATAAAGAATTATTTTTTAAAAATTTAAGCCCTAGCTGGTTTGGCTCAGTGGATAAAGCACCCGCCTGCAGACTGAAGGGTCCCAGGTTCAATTCTTGTCAAGGGCACAGGCCCAGGTTGTGGGTTCAATCCCCAGTAGGTGCCATGCAGGATGCAGCCGGTCAATGATTCTCTTATCATTGATGTTTCTCTCTCTCTCCTTCTCCCTTCCTCTCTGAAATCAATAAAAATTTGTGTTTTTTTAATTTAAAAAAAATATATACCATTTAGTGTTGAGTGTTAGAAAAAAAAATACTTCTATTCCATTGCTGGTATTTTCTGCTTTCAGATCAAACCAAAAATCTTGGAGTCACCCATACTGCTTTTTTAAAATTTCAACTCAATATCTGGCCCATTCAGAAATTTTGCTGGCTAGATCCCCAGTGGGGGGCATGCAGGAGTCAGCTGATCAATGGTTCTCTCTCATCACTGATGTTTCTCTCTCTCTCCCCCTCTCCCTTCCTCTCTGAAATAAAAAAATATACATATTTTAAAAATACATATACTGATTAGGATGATGCATGGGAGGAGATAAAAAAGAAACTCCAGCCCTGGCTGGTTTGGCTCAGTAGATAGAGTGTCAGCCTGGGGACTGAAGGGTCCCAGGTTCAGTTCCAGTCAGGGGCACATGCCTGGGTTTCAGGCTTGGGCCCCACTGGGGGGCGTGCAGGAGGCAGGCAATCAATGATTATCTCTCATCATTGATGTTTCTCTCTCTCTCTCTCCCTCCTCCTTCCTCTCTGAAATCAATAAAAATATTTTTTTAATTAAAAAAAAGAAATTCCAGGGAATGAAAAACATAAAATTCAGAATGGTGCTTACTTCTGGAGACGTTCTGGAGGTGGAGGAACGAGAATTGGGAAGGGCACACAAGAGGCTCCAAATGTACTAGTAATATTTCTTAAGGTGAGTAGTTTATACACTGGAGCTCATTTTAATGTTACCGCTATGTTAAGTGTTCACATATATTATTTTGTATGTATTATAAGTGAGCAAAAAAGCAAAGCAAAAGTGAAGTATAAGGTGAAGCAGTCCCCCTACTTCTTTCCTAAATGGGTGCCTCCCCCAAGGATAGGCCAAGAAGATGTCCCCAGCATGATGCTTGCACTGTGAGCACTTCTGGGGAGGAGCTATCACAATTCAGATCTGCCCATTCCTCACACCTGCTCCATCCTCCCAAACAAATCACTCCCACTTCCCCCTGAATCCACCATCCCCAGCTCTTGGTGCTTTGAGGAGAGAATATATTTGTGGGTCAAGTAGTGTTTGTTCCATTTGCTTCTTTAGAGAGCTGGTCCTCTCCATCCAATGAATGCTTCCCCTGGTTTTATGTGCATTAATTTGGTGTACAACAGGCACCCCCCCTCCCCCATTTTCTAGATTTTTTATCTATTTTTGAAATATATGCTTAATCATTTCAAGGGTATTTAAATGCCTGTATTGAAGCTACCACCTTCACTTAGAAATCCTATTGGTTTGTTTTAATGGGTAGGTAGTTTGACTCTCCTCTCTAATACTATTGTTTAGAAATTGCTGTTACAATTTTTGAACCGTCACCTCCCCTCACCACCCCCCAAATGCTACTGCAAACTCACCCTTCATTACAAGAATAATTAATTCTTGATCCAAACTTGCCTTCTCCAGTTATTTCCATTTTGCCATTTGTGGGCTCGGAAGGAGTTCCACATGATTTACCTATGGGAAAGAAGCAGAATTTGGGGACTGGGTGTAGAATTCCTTGAACTTCTCTTAGTAAAGACCCAACCTGTCTACAGCTTACTGAAGAACATTTGTAGTTCTACAGTTTTTGCCACATTGGGGAATTGCACAACACTGTCTCAAAATCAGCCACCTACTAAGCACCACTTTCAAAAAGACCTCCCCTCCAGTTCTATCTAATCCTCACCTTATGCCTCCCAGGAAAATGTAAACTTTATTTGTTACCAAAGTGTTTACTCTGTGATTCAACCAGAGTAAAGGTCTCAGAGTCTGAGCTTTTGTTCTTACTTGCACTTTGTTTTCCTTTCCTGAGGCATTCATCAGTTTCAGTTGTGAAAATGGCAGATGCCTAGTGAGTGGGGATTTCCCTCAATCATGCCCTAATGACAGTTTCTTATGAAATGAACTTTTAATGAAGGTGCCAGGAACTCAAAGCAGTCGGAAGATATGACTTCTCTTGGTCCTCAGGTCCTAATGAGGCAAACTTACAAGTCATAGATGTTTTCATTCCCAAATCTGAACAATTGCACCAGTTCTTAGGGATGTTTCACTGAGACAGAGGAGTTCTCAGTCCAGAGTTACTTACGGGTACAGGTTGCAGGGCTTGACCAGACTGAGTTTTTTAGGCAGGTGATAGAGAAAACTCTCCTCTGGTAACCAGGGCGGCATTTATACTGCAAAGATGTTCCAATGGGAAACTCAGCCTCATCAGTCAGTGTTGTAGGCATGGCAGATGGAAGATATGGCGGGGCTTGGCATTGACCTGAAGACCAAGATCACAGGGACATTAGGGTTAATGAGGGGACTTCTATTCCACCTCCTGTTTTTCTCCAATATGCTTCATAGATGTGATCGAAGAAGAAAATGAACACTTTAATGCTGGTAAAAGGATTGCTTCCCTTAGCAGCAACTTTAGAAAAGAGCTTTTTAAAACAGCATCTATCCATTTTAAAAGTGCCTGCTATTTTGAAGGCAATTAAGATATATCTATATCTATATCAATATCGATATATATTTATATCTAATCTATATCTATTTTATCTATATCTATATATCTAATCTATCTGTTCTTTCACGGAAGGAAAAACTAATTCATAGCTTCACATTTTATCCATCAGAAAGTCCCTGGGCTCTGGCTTCCTTTACCCCATCCTCTTGCATAATAATCAGCAGGCATGCATTTCACCATCTATCTTCATTCCCAGTTGACCACCCAGACCTAGCAGCACAACAGCCTCTTCTCTGGTCACAACTATTAAAAGATGTTCCGAAGTCAATACATCAGCACAGGAAAATTCAGCACATGCTTTGCAGACCAAACTCAACAACTGAACTTTGTGAGGGCCTATATTTTATAATGCACATCTTGAATTAAATATTAGACTCATTTACTTCTTAAGATGTAAAGGTTTAAGTTAAACTAATAAAAGTACCATGTAGTCTTAAACAATCCTATGTAATAAAAGCTAATATGCAAATTGACTGAAAGGCAGAACAACTGGTCGCTATGATGCTCACTGACCACCAGGGGGTAGATGCTCAACACAGGAGCTGCCCCATGGTGGTCAATGTGCTCCCACAGGGGTAGTGCTGCTCAGCCAGAAGCCCTGAGCTGGGTTCATGGCTGGTGAGTGCAGCGGTGGTCGCAGGAGCCTCTCCCGCCTCCACAACAGTGCTAAGGATATCCGACTACCGCTTTAGGCCCAGACTGCGAGAGGGATGTCTGACTGCCGGCGCTGGGGATCGGTCCTAAGCCATCAGTCGGGCATCCCCTGAGGGCTCCCAGACTGTGAGAGGGCTTGGGCCAGGCTGAGGGACCCCACCAAGTGCATGAATTTCATGCACTGGGCCTCTAGTATGTAATAAAGAAGAAATAGCTATTGGAAAAGTATTTTACATTAGAAATAGGTTCTGTTCTGATTTGATTAATCTTCTATTTCTTTCCACACACCTTATTACTTAATTTAAATAATGGAGGGTAGATTGTTCAATTTTATTAGGCTGTAAGTAATCAACTTTTGGATTTATTGATTTGTACTTATTTTTATTTTACCTTTAAAAAAATTTTATTGAGCCTATTTGCTGAGTTTAAAAATAAATTTTTTAAGATGGTAACTTAGATTTTTTTATTTTCAGCTTTACATAATTTCTGAAATAAGCATTTGTATTATTATTTTATTCTGAGGACAGACTTAGCTGTATTCTCAACGTTTTGATGTACCATATTTTCAGGTTTTTGAGTTTCTTAACTTTATTAAACTTATTGGGGTGTCATTGGTTAATGAAATTATATAGGTTTCCAGTGTACAAATGCATATTTTCAGTTCAAAATATTTGTTAATGGCCATTGTGATTTCTTTATTGACCCATGGCTTATTTAGCAATGTTTTGCATAATTTAGAAACATTTGAGGAAAGTTTTAGCGGTAGATTTATTATCAAGTTTTGAAATTGATTGACACTTGTATGTCTCAGCATATAGTCAACTGATATAACTGTATCAAATGAATATTTTTAAGGTGTATCTGTGGTAGTGGGTATAGTGTTGGGGGTATGCCAGTGAGGCCCAATTAACAATTAATCATGTTTGCTAAAATCTTCTAGATACTTATATTGTATATTAGATATAAATAGAAAGTTAAAGAAATAGGTAGAGATGAAATAAACATTATAAATGCTTTACTAATCACAATATAATATGATCATTAACTAACATTTAAACCCACAAAAATACAGTTAGAGTGAGTTTCTCTCTTGGTAATGATGGATAAAGCTATCTATCGCTAGTTTTCTTGATACTTTCTACATTTTTGCTTTTATCTACCTTTGGTCAGTTGAGATTGAGGTGATGAGATTGACAGTGTTTCTCTGACAAAGAGCTTGTATATGAGTCTGTGTGTCTGTGTGTGGGGGAGTGGCTGTCAGGTATGCTATTTTCTTACTTCCTTGAGTTGACCTTATTAGAATTATTTCACTCAGTGTTTCTATGCAAGACATTTCTGAAGTTACTTGTCCAATGGTGGAGGTTCCAGTAGGTAAAACTAGGCAGTGGACACCATACACACCTTCTCATCTGAGCATATACATGTAAACTGAAATATGCCACAAAACACAGAAAGCGAACAGGAATGCCCGTCCTTCCTACCTTGCATCACTACACAGCAGGGGCCAAGAGTGAGAGCTGACCTGAGGCCCAGGAGAGGGCAACAGAGACCGCTATATTGAACACTGTCATGCTCCCTTAGTGTGCTCCTCGGTATATAAATCCAATATCCCCGTGAATCATCCTGTACAACTGTTTTTTGGATTCCCTCCCTAAGTGCTGCTTAAGCTGTGCTCCTTCCACTCATTGACGCTGAGATGTCTCCATTTCAGACCTCCTGTGGCTTTGAGGTTGTCTTGAGTGACTTCCCAGTCAGGGTCCCTTAGATGTGCATGGGGATTTTCAGGTTCCAAAACACTATCACAGACACTACCTCATGCAATTTTTGCAATAGCCCTCTCAGATAACAGGATGTCAAATATGCTCATTTTCTACTCATGGACACTGGAAGTTAGGGATGTTAATTGACTTGCTGGATCCCAGACCCCCATTTGGTATGTAGCCGACACTGGACAAACCAGAACCCGGGTCTCCCAATGACAGAGATTTCATAAAACCTCACCATTCTAGGTCTGTATGCATCCGCCTGGGCGGCATGGCTCTCTCAGACTTCTTTTCAACTCCAAAGTGCTATGACATTGTCAGCATTCCATCAACAGTTTCTTTATCTAAACTACTTTGGCAAGTAAATCACTAGTTAGCCTAGTTTACCAGTGGTCTGCAAACTCATTCGTCAACAGAGCCAAATATAAACAGTACTTCTTCAAAATAGACTCGCCCAGGCAGAAAACTGACTTCTGCACATGGGCCACGAAGTTTCAATCGCACTGTACGTGCACGTCCGCATGGTATTTTGTGGAAGAGCCACACTCAAGGGGCCAAAGAGCCGCATGTGGCTCTCAAGCCACAGTTTGCCCACCATGGGTTTCGGCTGTTTCACAATCGGAGGCTAGTGTGGTGACCTTAGTAAAATAAGTTGGGGGGCAGTTAATGGTGTCTGAGATTGTTAACAGGGGGAAACTGTCACAATGTTCTAGTAAGAAGGGAGCCAGATACTCACATGGTCCACAGCAATTTCCAAGCACTGACAACAGGGCTTACCTCGCTGGCGACGCTTCTCTTCTGAAAATAAAACTTTAGGTTCTATTACATTTCCTCCCCTAACAGGTTACTTTCTGATGTCTAAGGAGATGAAACATTAACACCAACTTTTCTGAAAAACTGGTTTTTCTTTTCCCATGAGAGAGGGCACCATCCAATAACGAATGTAAAGTGTCTAGTGACAGGGAAGAGCCCAGCTCAGTTGACCAGAAGAGGCTGGGCAAACAGAAGCCAGACCTTCACTCCAACTGAGATGTGGCCAAGGAGCCCCCGAAACTCAAAGGTCTTTTGGGAAAGCCAAAAATAAGAAGAGAAGGGCCCTCATTGAAGTTGTTTACCTAAAGTCAGAAGGAAGGAAGGAAGGAAGGGAAGGCATGACCTCAAAATTTCCATAATGGTTATAATGGTTTTATTTAGTTCTAAACTCATGGCTAAAACGGGTCCACTTTTCCAGGTTGCCTTCTCCCGGAAGCCAGCTGCGCTGAGGGTTCTGGGGCGTCACTAGTTCTCCTAACCCCAAGTGCCCTGCCAAGGGTATGCCCTCAAGTAGCTGCTCAGTGAGTGCGTGTTGATGATGGAGGTGCTGGTTTGGGGAGGGCATGGGCTGAATATTGGCCGGATACAGGGCAGATTTCCGGGGAAAACCGCACCTCCCAGCGCTGCTGGTCCAAACACCCCCATGGACAAAGCTCAGAGCTAATGACTGGGGAACAGAAATGAAGTGACAGGCGCTCGGTTCGACCCTTGGCATGCTTTATGCCATTTAGATGGCAGCCCCGTGAAGTAAGGCTAAGGGCGTTGCCATTTCACAGAAGAGGAAAGGGAGGCAGGCAGGGCTCGTCACTTTCCCACAGTTAAGAAGTTTCCAGGATTAGAACCCAGGCTGGTGGAATGCCCAGACCTCTTTCTGGCACTCGGATCAGCGCCCGGTCCTCACACAGCCCGTCCTGGTCAGCAGGGAAGGCAAGGACTTCATGCTGCGCCACCTGCGCATCTGCGCTCTGCCTGCGCTGGGGACGCTTAAGACCCTGCAGAGGGGAACCCGACTCTACCCAGAGGCCAGGAGGTTCTGAGGACACAGAGGGGGTCGCAGAGCCCCGTGCCCTCGCCCTCTCGCAGCTGAGCCCACTGGAAACGAACCCCCAGGATGCGGGGATCCGGAGGCTGCGTCCCTGCTGGAGGCGCTCCCCACGCCCGCCCGCCCGCATCTCACCCCAGGCAGCCGGCAGCGCGAGCAGCATCAGCACCGCCAGGAGGGCTCCTCTGGAGCCGGAGAGAGAGGGCGCTGGCGGCCACGGAGGCTCGGGGCTCCTCGGAGATCCGGCTCCCATCTTCCCCCGGTACCTCTAGGAACCCGACGTTCGCGGGAAGAAAATCCAAGTCACTAGAAAGCGCAGCTCAGAGGACGGAGACCACAGTCGAGGCGGTGCGCCCAAGATCTGGGGAGCGCAGTTGCGGAACAAAAAGCTTTTGACCACAGCTTCCCCTTAAAGGGCGGGGAAGGGGGCCATGCCTGTTCCCGATTTGCATTGTTTCTAGCGAGTTTGGCATCCGAAGTCCACCTGCAGGTCCCGCACCCCAGGATCGCCGTCTGGCAGAACTTCAGCGCCTCTGTGTGCTCTGCCTGCCTGGGTGGGCAGGTCCAAGCGGTGGTTTCTCCCGGCTCCACTCCCTTATGCTCCTGCCTGACTTCTGTCCTTTGCAAAAATGTGCGTGGGTAGGTCGGCTCCCTAAATGCCTGCTGTCTGTGGTGACAGTTACAGCAACAGGTGCAGGGTACAGGGACGATGAAGAACCCATTTCTCTATGTTGAATTGAGATATACCGAGCCACTGAACGATTTTTTTAAAAAGGGTGACTAAATCAGATTTGAATTTTTAAAATATAATTCCGTCTGTATTAGGGAGACTGGATTGGAAAAGGCAATAGTGCAGTGGTTCTCAACCTTCCTAATGCCACGACCCTTTAATACAGTTCCTCATGTTGTGGTGACCCCCAATCATAAAATTATTTTCGTTGCTACTTCATAAATGTAATGTTGCTACTGGTATGAATCGTAATGTAAATATCTGATATGCAGGATGTAGTTTCATTGTTACAAATTGAACATAATTAAAGCATAGTGATTAATCACAAAAACAATATGTAATTTTGTATGTGTTTTCCGATGGTCTTAGGCGACCCCTGTGAAAGGGTCGTTTGACCCCAAAGGGGTCGCAACCCACAGGTTGAGAACCGCTGCAATAGTGGGTGGAGAGACCAGCAAGGAGGCGTTGACATCACCGAGGGGAGTTTTGGTGGCGGCCTTGACTAGATAAAGTGGACAATTAGACGATATCGGATGTGGAATGAACCAAATTTTTGCATTGGATTTTGGTTACTTCCCTTCTTAAGGTTAATGGTGAGAAAAATAAAATCAGTAATTCACCACAGTTTTCTAAATGAATGGTTTTACCATTTATTGGAATTGAAAAACACGGGGTGGGACATATTTGGAGCATGGGGCTAAGAGTTCAAGGATGAAATGGGTGTGTGTGGTCGGCTGAATAATAGCTCCCCAAAGATGTCCATGTCCTAATTCCTAATTCCTGTGAATATGTTACCTTATGTAATGAGAGGTTTTAGATGTGATCACATTGAGGAACTTGAGATGGGAGATTCCCCTGGGTTATTTGACTGGGTAATGTAGTCACCCGGTCCTTGTTAGAGGGAGGCAGTAGATCAGCGTGGGAGAGGGTGATGACTGAAGCAGAGATTGGATGCTGCCAAAGTCCAGGAATGACAGCCAACTCTAGAAGCTGATAAAGGCAAGTCAGGAATTCCCTGCCTGCAGAAGGCACCAGTCCTGGCAACACCGTGGTTTTAGCCCTGTCAGACTCTTTTTGGACTTCTGAACAGAACTGTAAAATCTGTGTCATTTTAACCTACAAGGTACATGTTACAGCAGTGGCAGAAAACTAATATGGAGGGGAGAGAGGATTGATGGATCAAGGAAAAGTGTAAAAGTTTTTTGTTTTTGTTTTTTTTTAACTGAGAAAGCTTGGGTATGGGACAGATGGAGTATATTGAGGTCCCAGGGATTTGGGAATGTTCTAGGAAAAGCTTGGGAATATAGGTATTGTGTTAATTATGAAGCTGGCTTTTCAGAAAGGCCCAAGAAGAGAGCTTTTAAAAAGAAAACATTTAACATTTTTGTGTAAATCATAGATCTCTTTGCCTGTTTGGTAAAACCTATGGATCCTTTCTCAGAATTATTTTTAAACTAGATGCCCGGTGCATGACATTTGTGTACTGGGGGGTTGGGGGAGCCTCAGCCCAGCCTGTGCCCACTTGCAGTCCAGGACCCCTCAGGGGATGTCTGCCTGTTGGCTTAGTGGGGAGCGGGCCTAAGCTGGCAGGCGGACATCCCCCAAGGGGTCCTTAGCGCTGCCGCAGAGGCCAGAGAGGCTGCCAACACTGCTGCTGTGCTGAGTGGTGCTCCCCCTATGGGAGTGCACTGACCACCAGGGAGCAGCTCCTGCATTGAGCATCTGCCCCCTGGTGGTCAGAGTGCATCATAACGACCGGTCGTTCTGCTGTTCAGCCGATTTGCATATTAGCCTTTTATTATATAGGATGCATAAAATAAAGTACATGAGATTACAAAGCAAACCAGTTATATAGAGTCAGCTCTAGCCCTGAACCTTGGAGGTCTTTAGCCTCTGAGACAAGAACCCAAATTTCAAAATTATTAGGAACAAGAGTCAGAGTTGGAATGAGTTGAATGGAGAGTGGAGAAATTCCAAATATTAAATGCTGTAGAGCGGGAAGAGGCTTGAAAAGATATTGTAGCAGATATTTCAGTAAATGTGTCAGCTCTTTTCTCCTCCATGCAGAGCTATGACTCAAAGTGGAGCAAAGATACTCAAGGTGGAAAACTATACTCAGTGCAGTTTCACAGAGACCCATAGTCCAACAAACCTATCTAACTCAGCACACATAGCCTTAGCTCACATAAAGATTCAAGAATACTGTCTTTATTTGTTCCTGCCTACTCAAGTCTCAGCTCCTACCCTCACTCGTTGAGAAAGGACAGTGTCCCAAATGCGAGGTATGTTTTTTATTTTCCATTACTTTCTCTTTTAAGACTCTACTGCAAGAAATACCTACATTGATCATATCACTTATTGTACCTCCTTTTTAATACATCTATTGCCATTCTCTCAAGGCCTTCTTATCATGCTTTTAAGCTATTCTCAACAGAGAAATGGAAGAAGAAGCCATATCCTAGTAGGCTGATGACTCAATTCCTCAGTCTTACGTCACATGCTATCAGAATACACCAGTCATTACCACTTCCTGTGCATTAATCTCCTAACAACTGCTTTCTGTCCTCATTGCTTGAAAGTTTAACTTCTAGCTCACAGCAACCTTCTCCATTCTCCCTGCATTAATAGCCCTCAGTGATTTGATATTCCCAGCAATGCTATTTTCAAACACCTGCCCTTTCAGGGCCTTCATCTTCTCTGCCAATGATCTTATCTTTTACTCTACTCTGCCACTTATGCCCATGGAAGTACCTTCGATTTTATTCTCTTTGAGCTACAATACCTCCAGAATTTCAACCATTTCAGTGCCCAGCTACCAAAATCTATCCTTCTCGTTTGCCTGGACCCAACCATCTTTGTATTTCTCAGTACCCACAGCCCACTGATCTCACCACCGTCTTTCAGTCTCAAACCCCCTTAGTATCCTCACCTTCCACCTCACCAGGTTAAATTCCATGGTCCATCGTTGTAATCACTATCTTGCATACATCCTCAGCTTCCTTTTTCATTTCTCACTTTATTACATGCTTTAGACAAACAATAATCTTGGTTAGAGTCGATTCTGCATAATTTTTCTCCTGTACCCAAGACACTGAATGTGGCTAGAGAAAAACCTGTATCCATGATGCCTAATCTTACTTTAAAGATGGCTCCTTTCAAATGGACCACTGTGATGCTGCTAGTATTCCTAATGTACTTGCCTAGTCCATTTACTCCATCATTCTCCTAAGTTGCTACTTCATATTTTTATATTGACATTGAATGCAGACATCTCCTACATCATTCTCAATCTCTGTTTATAACTTTGCTGCTTTTCTTTAGAGAAAAATAGAAGCAATCGAAGAGAATTTCCACAAACTTCTCTCATCGCTTTACCCCAAGGCCTGTATCCGGCCTATTTAGCTTCCTTATCTCCTATTAGTATGGTTACACTGTTCACACCGTTATCTAAGGCTCACCTCCATAGCAGTATAGATCATCTGCTCTCACTTTTTCAAAAACATCCCTCCAGGAATGTTCCTCTCTCTTCAGTATCACTGTTTCCCCCTTTCTAATAGAGTTTACCTTACGCATGCAAATATGTCATTTCTCTAAAACAGCAGGCATAGTTCTTTGTTTTCCTTCTAATGGTCCTTTTGCTGGGAATACTTTCTGACCAGAAATCTCTCTGCATGGTTACCTCCCTCATCTTTTCCTTAAGTGTGACCCTTTAATGAAGCCTCATTGGCCACTATTAACAATGGCCTATCCACTGAACTTTCTTTCCTCTTTCACTGATTTAGATAATCTAAAATATTGTACTTATATCTTTTTTTATATATAGATCTGCTTATTGTCTCTCTCCTCAGTAAAATAAAGGCTACACGGGCACTGTCATTTTACCACTGCTAAATCCCATGACCTAAAACATTGCTTAGCACACCGAAGGATGTACATAATTATTTGTTGAGTGTATGAGTGAAATGATTGAGGGAGCTATGGTTAGCTATTTTCTTAGATACAGCAGTGGTAAAGAGAAGGGTACATCAATTGTACTCCAGCTCCAACTGTGGGCAGTGAGCTCAGGCCTTGCCATCTGCTAGTTCACTGCCCTGGCCCTAGTAAGTGGTTCAGTGGAGATATGTGCCATTTTTTTGACAAATTAGAGCTAATGAAGGGACTTTTGAAGGAGTTATTAGAGAGAAGCTCTTTGTGCTGGAATGCTAAGCCGACAAGGTGTGTGTTTGGCCTTGTCAGCAAATACTTTTCCAGTTTTTAGGGAGTGTTGACCACAGAAGGAGGCCAGCGAGGAAAAGCAGAACGGGGGTGGGGATGGGGGGATAGATTCCTGAGGATGTGATTTGAATGTTTTCCTGTTTTGACTGAAGCAGCAGAACCTGTGATCTTTTCTGTCATGTGATGTAATAAATTTTGGTCTAAGCCAGTGGGAGATAAGATTTCTGTGACTTGGAGATGAATGGGTACTAGCTGCACCAGGTTGGCAGGGGGAAAGGAGCCAGTGATGAGAGAGGGTATAACTGATGGAGCCATGTCCCGGAAGAAACAGGGAGTGTGTGTGTGGTGGTGGGGCGAGAACAGTGTAGTCTGTGAATGTGGTCAGTGGAATTGATGAATGGATCTAGATAAGCTTAGAGGTGGAAAGAGAGGAAATTGAGAGAGATACCCTGTGATGTTTTCATCTGCTAAGTGAAAGATGGATAATAGGGATGATGATAAAAGGGAGCAGATGGCCTGAAGTGCATGAACAGATAATGTGGAGAAATGAAAATGGCACTGTGAATGAATAATATATGTTGAA